CTGGCCGCTGGCTGCAGGGCCAGCCACGCGGGGAGTGTGGCGGCCGCCATGGCTGCGACGACGGCAAGCCGGATGGGACAAGCGCAGCCTGGCGTTAAGGGGAGGGTGTGCGGCCGCTACCGCGCAGGTTCGCTTCGACTTGCCCCGCCTCCAGGGGGAAGAAACAGAAAACACGTGGGCCTGCAAAGTCAGAGCTGGAGTTAAATGTGCAAGAAGGTAGCACCCAAATAGGAAAAAGTAATGAAAACAACAAGGTTGAAAAAGGAATCGAAGCGGTCAGTCCAAAGAGGACCGTAAGAGATGAGGGAAATGTGGCTTACAGAGGGCAAATGTGGTCTGGGTGGGATTTAAGATAGCCCAGGAGCCTGGCAGTTTATGTTAGGGCCCTGCTCCTTTGCAGTTGCTGCTTATCCACACACTTTCTTGGTTTAAAGAAGCCTTGAGCTGGTGCAAGTGATATACTCTAAGGACGAGGCAGTATCTGATAGTAGTTAAATGGATAGCCTCTTGAGCCAGACTACTTGAGTTTAAAACTTGACTTCATTTTTACGTGGCTGGGTTGATCCTAATCAAGTTAATACATCCAAAACTCTGGGGCACCTGGGTAGTTCAGTCGGTTAAGCACCTTAAGCGCCTGACTTCGGCTGAGGTCGTGATTTCACGGTTCGTGGGTTCCAGCCCCACATCGGGCTCTGTGCTGACAGCTCAGAGCTTGGAGCCTGCCTGGGACCCTGTGTCTTCCACTCTGTCTGCCCCTCACCTGCTCACATTGTGTCTCTCTCTCAAAAATAAGTATTTTTTAAAAATTTAAAAATAAGGTTTAACAGTTCCTTCTGGAGATTCTGAAAGAGAATCTGTTTATGCCTCCCTCCTCGCTTCTGATGGTTTCCTGGCAGCCCTTGGCTTGTAGACACAGGACTCCAGTCTCCTTCTGTCTTCACTTGGTGTTCTACCCTCTCCTCTTTTTAAGATTCAAAGCATGGCCTTTTAGTCAGATAGATAGCAGGCTGGAATCCAGGCTCTGTTTCATTGTGATCTGGGGAAAATCTACCTAACATGTCTGAGCTTCAGTTTCGTGGAAAATGGGAACAATAATATTTTCCTCAAGACTGTTGTGATTAAGTAGTTATGTTTCAAAAGGCAGAATATAAATAGTGGCCACTGGAATTAATCTCAGGGTCAATACAGCAGCCATTTTTGCTCTCTCCAGTATGTATGTTTCAGTAGGATGAAGTGCAAGACCTATCCCATACAAATTTAGGGACAAAAGAAGTATGAATCCTTATGGAATTAGTTTATATTCAGAGATTTCTCAATTTCTGAGCAAGAAGTTGAGTCTTAGGTCCTCACTCTGCCTTCCTGTGTTTCCTTTTTGTTGTACTGTCTCTGTAAGACATTAGTAGACAGACATGACCAGAGTTAGAGGAGCTAGAGAAATAGTGATTGTTTTCCTAAGCATTAAGTACAATAAGGCTCATTCTATATTGAGTTATCTCATTTGTAATGCTGTCAACAGGCAATAATAATGTTTCAATGCAGTGTAAAGAATAAAGCATGTAGGGGTGCCTGGGTGGCTCAGTGGGTAAAGCATCTGACTCTTGACTGGCTCAGGTCATGATCTCACCGGTTTGTGTTTGAGCCCCCCTTCTGGTTCCACACTGACAGTGCAGAACCTGCTTGGGATTTTCTCCCTCTCTTTCTCTCTCTCAAAATAAATAAACTTAAAAAAAAAAAAAAAAAGAATAAAGCATGCACATAGGAGTCACTAAGAATTACATCATTTTTCAGTTGGAAAAATTCTTAAATGTGCACTCACTTATGATAAAAATCTTCGGCTTTCATGACCAAATAATTCAACATATTGCAGAAGACAAATGGAGTCATGGGGATGCAACTCACACTTAGAGGAACCCCGTGTTTGGCTTAGAGTTCTGCTATCCCTGTCTTGAAGTTATTGACAATTTAAATTTTTTAAATTATTTTTGAGTGAGCAGGGGAGGGGTAGAGGGGGGTGGGGGAGAAGATTTGAAGCAGGGTCTGTGCTGATGGCAGAGATCCCGATATGGGGCTGAAACTCACGAAATGTGAGATCATGACCTGGGCCGAAGCCGGATGCTTAACAGACTGAGTCACCCAGGTGCCCTGAAATTATTGACAATTTTAAAACAAAGGGCCACACATTTTCAGTTCATACGGGGCTCCACAAATTATGCAGCCAGTCCCATGTGGAATAATTTTAAATATTAAGGTTTTTGATAATGGGTTATTATATTTAAACCATAGGTTAATCCGATGACTTTCTGTCAGAGAGCTTTTGGTCAAAACCATCATTTTTCTAAAAAGTGAGTGAATGGAGAATGTTTACTTACAAGCATGGTTAATAGACAATATCCAGGTATGTGAATGGACCTTGAAATCTAAATATCCATCAAAATAATATTGCTTAAATATTTTAAGGTATATACATACAACACAGAGTGCTACTTGCACACATGGAAACCTAATCCTGACTGCACATTATAATTACCTCAAGACATTTAAGAAAACTTGTGTAGGCCCTCACTCCGAAATGCATTGGGTTTTTGGTTTTGCTTTTAAGTTTCCCAAGTGAATCTAGTATATAGGCAGGATTGAAAATCACTGATGTCAGCCTTAAAGAGGACTGGGTGGGTATAAATTGATTAGCATGGAGTATTGTCCAAAGTATATAGTTGTTTTAAAAAATGCAGGTTATGGATCATATAATTCCATTTGTGTCAAATATTTTTAATATGCAGTACATGTTCTGTAAAGTAACAGCAAACTGGAGGGAATAGATGTGCAAAGAGGAGGTGAGATTCCTGAAGCCTTAACTTTGTATACTTCTGTCCCTTTTTACAGCAAAATACACATTTTTTAAAAAATGTGCTATCTTAAATCAGGGAAAGTTTCACTTATGATCTCACGGTTCATGGGTTCGAGCCCCATGTCAGGCTCTGCATTAACAGTGCAGTGCCTGCTTGGAATTCTCTCTGTCCCCTCTCTCTCGGCCCCTCCCCCACTATCTCTGTCTCAAAGTAAATAAACTTAAAAGTAAATAAGTAAAATTTTTAAAAAAGACATGGTAAGCCTTTGACTTATATCTTCCAGCTGTTTAGAACATGAATATCTATAATTTGTATTATTAGAGTCTTCGACATTTTCATCAGCTTACAATTTAGTATAGAAAATGTCGTCACAAGCATTGTCTCCTTTGTATTAGTTGAAGTAAGTCCCATTTACAAATAAGAAAACAAAGAGTTAAGTCACCAGACTCTGCTCTTTAGATAATTCAACTCAAACCTACATCTGATTTCAAGCTGAAGGTTGTTTTTACTATACTAACTACTTTCTTGATAGCTTACTCTACACAGCATTGCTACAGATAGGGGTCACTATATGCCAAGGAAACATTAATTGGGTATTCTAACCTTCCAGGCACAAAGTGCAGGGCTTTATTTCTTCCTTTGCGTACATCTGTAATATTTAAGAAATTTGGAAAGACAGCATTCTGATTGTGATGCATTTCATATTCTTCATCCAATCATCAGCAAACGCTGTAAGCTTTACCTTCGACTATTCCTAGATCTGACCTTTTCATCCCTCCTCCCGTACCACTTTGATCCTTTTCCCTCTTATTATAATAGCTTCCTAGTTGCTCCCTGGGCTCTGCTTTCACTCTTTCCTCCCCACAATCTAGTCTCCAGCCAGCAATCAAGTGAGGGTTTTGAATTGTAAAGCAGATCGAGGCATTTCTCTCCCTTTATCACTCAGAATAAAATCAAGTTCTTACAAGTATGTGCTTCAATCACATCAACTCCACTCCTGTTTTAGCCCTTTGCCTTTACAGCTCTCTAAGCCTAGAACATTCTTTCCCAGATTTATCTGCTCTGATGCTTTCCCTCTTCATTGAGACCTCTGGTCAATTACCCCCTTCTCAGAGGTCTCCCTTACCCACCCCATATAAAGTAGCACATCCTCACCCTCGATCCCTTTATCCACGCTTTATTTTCACATAACACCCAATATACTTGTTTAAGTATATACACATATATTTGCTTTTGGATAGTCTTCCACCATTAAAAGAGAGACTGCCCAAGAGTAGGGACCTTGTTCTTTTTACTACTGGGTTGGAAAGGCGCAGGACAGGGCCTAACATATAATCATTTACCAGTCATGTGAGTGAATCTTTCATTTTCACTTTTAAGCATTTTTTTTTTTTTTGCTTCTGCTGTTAGTTTTCCTCCCTTAAAGTACTAGAATTCTACCCAGGCTTTTAAGCAAAGATGGTTTTTATAAGTGAATACACTTTACTTACTGTAAATGCTAAACAAATGTTAATCATCATTACAAGGGATTGCTATAGGGGTCACTGTGTTTAAATCCTAGAAAAAGCTGACACTCAAGTGAGTGCCAAAGTGAATCCCACCAAGATCCTCTGTGCACAGAGAAAGCAGCTGGGGATGAGCTGGGAGCAAAGGCAGAGCTTAGGGGAAGAAAGGGGAATGAGGTTTTGCCTAGGAGTCCTGGAATGAAACTGGTATTGTAAATGTAATTAAACCTGTTCTGTAGTCCATGAGACTGCATGGCACCACCTCACCCCAGCCACCTTCCACCCGCAGCAGTAAAAATATATTTTACACTTTCAAGTTCTAGACTTGTTATAATAAAGACACATTTTTTAAGCAAATCAAACTTTAAGGGTGACTTTATTATCCCCTCCTCCCATTTTTAAAATTGAATAAAGGAAATTGTAACTTTTCCCTGCAATGTAGGCAGGGTTTTTCCCTCTCCGTAGTCATGACATTATATTTTTTGACCCAGGTGATCATTTTCATTCAATGGAGGGTGGGTGTAAAAAAAAAAAAACAAAAACAAAAAAACAACATATCCCATGCTGGGATGATGCAAGTGTGTGAGCTTGCCTATTAGAATATTTTTTCTTTTTGCCTTACAGGCCAGTCTGATTGTGCACATCCAGTTCAGAGGATGCTAATATAAACCTTGCCCACCTCTCTCAGCCCATCTTTCTTACTCAGACAGTTTCCAAGCAGCTCTCTGATGGAGACACAGTCTTCAGTTTCCCGGACAAATTGCGCCACGGCCTTTGCTCCTGGCAGATGGCCCCTCACTGTCTCACTTTTGACACTGTCCAGGACAACTCCTCTGATGTCTTTGGGCTTTCCTGGCACACCAAAGATGATAAATAGGCCCAGGCAATCCTCTCCTATCAAGTTACAGAAATCTTCCAGCTTATCGAATCTACTTCTCTTCCTGGAAGGCTCCTCTGGCCCGGGTTCTGGATGTGAGAAGTCGCAAGGCTTAGAAACCACAGGAGGAAGAGTAGACATCTGCACGGTCTGCACTGCCAGCTGCAGCCTTATTTGCTTATCGGATCCCCAGAAGGTCCAAATCCAGTCTGCCCCAAACAGTACGGCTTGGTGCTTGGACATCTTGGTGGTGGTGAGCCACTCATCAACTCCCTTTTCTTGGCAGAAGGTGACAAAGTGGATTAAGAAGATCTCATTCAGAGTGTTTGAAGCTGGGCACAGGTTGCTCAGAGGATCTTCAAATCCAAGGTAGTCCTTCAGTTTCTCAGCCGCATGGACTATCGCCTCGCTGACAACCTCACCGACGCTGAAAACCTCTGTGCCGTCTTTCAGAGCCAACTGTTGTGATGGTTTTTGCCCCATGTTCTCTGCAACCCATCAAGACTGCTTCCGAAGGTCACACGTGTGATCCTCATTCAGAGTGACTTCTTTTCCAGATTCAAAATCTTACAACGAAGTCACATCTGTTAACGTGGGCCCAGTTTTCCGACTCCACATTTATGTGGGGTAGCTAAGCGTATCTACACACAACTAAGCAAACACGTTAGGTCTCCCTGTTTGCCAATGAGGCGTGTTGTATTCATACAGATTCCTGCTGGCTTATTAAGTGAGAGATAACTAACCTTCACCAAAAACATCTGTTCCTCTCTAGTTCTAGTCACTCAACTTTTAATATTTGGCAATCTCTTCCAAGACAGGTTTCCACTTTTCAGATTTTACTTAAATTAAAAGTAGCATTCAGTTTTTTAAAGAACCATACACCTCCTTCCATACAACTAATGTCTTCAACTTTGCTGGTGAGTCCTTTCCCTTTGCTTTTCCGATAACCCCTCTGCCGTGATTCCTCACCCCCGCCCCAGCCCAGCAGCCTGTTTCCTTTCATACAGAAATTCCTCTGAGTCCTCACATTTCTACCTGTTGATACGTGCTATAAGCCTCACCTCAATAAACGTATGGGAGTTTGTGAATTATAAAGCATTTGTGTCACTGTTCTCTACACCAGAAATAAAGCCCCATGGGTATTCTGAACAAAGGAAAATAAAGTCACAGACAACAAAAATGAGGCAATCAATTGACTTTATTTCTTTTCATATGGTAATACCAGCAGTGTACAACATTTCGTAAATAAAATATATATCGTCAAAAAAATCTGAACTTTATCACATATCATCAGTTATGTTACACTGTCCTGAATAAAGAATATTTGGCATCTATAACAGTCTCCTGGTATTGTGTTAACCAGGTTTGGATAAGAAACTGTTTTTCAAATGGTGACAGATGTTTGCATTAAAATAAAACACTAATATGTAAGGAGTCCAATACAGTTACCAAACGACTAGTGGGGAGCAAAAGATTATTATTAGCATCAAATCATTTTAGTAATGAATAAACAGCAATTTAGTTCGACAGGCCCTTGTTGAAAAGCTTGATAACTTGCTAATAGCTTGCGAGATCACACAACCGACATTCAAACAGAATTTATAAGCACGTCCACTGGCGTATATGGAACTGTCCCCCTGTGCCAGTTTGTGAAAACCTGTCTTTCCCAGGTTGGCTATTAGGAGAAGTCATGTAGTAGTGAATAAAACATAGAATAATTTTTCTAATACCCCTTAAAAAGTGATAAACAGTCATTTCTTGATAAATGATATTTGGGCCCTGTGCGACCAACAATCATGAACTACATTTTCATATCGCAATACAGCCATTATAAAACTCATGTTGTAGCCTCAGACTTATTGAGCCCTGGGACAAAATGTCCAAATATTCAGCTTCTTAAAAAAAAAATCTCATTCATTGATAGCCTGAGAAATGTACGTTCAATAACATAAGGTAGACAGTTAGTGTTTTGATGTAATGAACTATTTAGCAAAGAGGAAAACAAGAAGCTTTAATACTGTAAAGGTTTTTGTTTTGTTTTGGTTTCTTCAGAAATCATTTCTATGTCTACATTTTGGGGGAACTCCTGAATGCATTCAAGTTAAGAGTATTTAAATGTCTCTTGAGTTCTTCCTTTGGAGGTAAAAGGATCCAAGATTAAGGTTGAACTTCTTAACTCTTCAACAATTTTGTGATGTATCATCAAGGGAGGGGTATTTCAGATATACTAATTTGGTTGGAATGATCAACAGCATTACAATTCAGTTGTGGAGAAGGAAAGATCATCCCAACCTTTCCATGAAACCAGCTGGTCCATGAAAATTCTGATCGCTGTGTTTGCTTTTCACCATCTGCCTTATGTCACAAGATAAAAGTTCTATTTTCTATGTACTAAATATGTACACATATTTTAAAAAATATATAAAAAAGGACCACGGGAGGCAAGGGGAGGTGTGGCTGGCACTCAGCGGGCACACTGAATGCTTAAAGAAATTCCACCTATTGATTTTGAAAGCAGACGATGCTCTGCTTTGATGGCTGTGGTGCTGTCACACGGACGGACGCAGACGTGACAGAGTCATTCACAGACTGCTTCCTGCTTCCCACATCCTGCATACCGTGAAGGGGAATGGCAACACGACGGTAAAACACTCATATTAAATGCAATACTTTAAATATAATATATCACAGATTTGTACATTAAATAGAAGAAAAACGATTATCGTCTCATTCACCAGTGTCTCCTTTTTCGTGGCGTCTTCAGAACGGGCACATACCCCCTGCTTTCGGTTTCCACTTCCACATGAGAAGTTGGAATAATAGACAGTAAACAATCTGCTGCTTGTTATGTGTTCTGTGAGTGTTTGAGAAAGAAGGTGGAGAAAAGGCGAGGGGCTCCTGATGCTCATTTGAGGGCCGTGGTTTAAACGTTGGAGTCCTCGTCGGTGATGCTGGCACTGGGGGAACGGGCGGCAAAGTCTCTGAACATGTCGTCCTCCTTTAACATGTGCTGGGAAACAAGGAGACGGGGGTCACACACACTGGGAGCCACGAGCTCAGAACTACACATCCTCCATGAAACATGTAGTCCTTTGGGGTTATTTTTTTAATTTTTTTTTTAACGTTTATTTAATTTTTGAGACAGAGAGAGACAGAGCATGAATGGGGGAGGGTCAGAGAGAGAGGGAGACACAGAACCAGAAGCAGGCTCCAGGCTCTGAGCTGTCAGCACAGAGCCCGATGCAGGGCTCGAACTCACGGACCACGAGATCATGACCTGAGCCGAAGTCAGCCGCTTAACCGACTGAGCCACCCAGGCGCCCCCTTTGGGATTATTTTTAAACATATCTTGGAGAATTAACATTTTAAACTCATTTTATAGACTTACCGTTAGATTGTTGATGCCTTCAGAGAACGCACCTATCTGTCTCACTGTCCCTTCTGAATCTTCCATCTGCAAAGAACATACCATAACATGACCTCCTCATTTGCACAATTTCAAAGAAAGCACAGCAAAGTGAGCAAAAGTCTAAGAATAACGTGAGTGACACTGAATGGGATGGGTGCAACAGAACACTTCTCTCTTTTTTTAAAATGTTTATTTATTTTGAGAGAAGAGAGAGGGAGGGAGGACAAGGGGGACAGACAGAGGGAGGGAGGGAGAAGGGGGAGGGGCAGAGAGAGAGAGAGAGAGAGAGAGAGAGAGAGAGAGAGAGAGAATTCTAATCAGGCCCCATGCCCCCAGCGCAAAGCCCGATGTGGGGCTCAATCCTACCAACTGTGAGATCATGACCCAAGCAGAAATCAAGAGTCAGGGGCACCTGGGTGCCTCAGTCAGTTGAGTGTCTGACCTCAGCTCAGGTCATGATCTTGCAGTTCGTGAGTTTGAGCCCCATATTGGGCCGCTGCTGTCAGCCTGTCAGCTCAGAGCCCACTTCAGATCCTCTGTCCCCCTCCCTCTCTCTGCCCCTCCCCTGCTTGTGCTCTCCTAAAAATAAATAAATACTAAAAAACAAAGGAAAAAAGAAAGAAATCAAGAGTCAGATGCTTCACCGACCGAGCCACCCAGGTGCCCCACAACAGAACACTTCTGATGAAACCTCCTTTCGTTACTGTAACCAGACATTAAATACTAGATGAAACAAGACTACCACATATAGTGCAATGCTCTGATGTTGACAATGACACCAAAGGATTGGTGTTGAAAGGGTAGTATTCAAATCCATGACTTCATACTGAAAAGGCTAACAGCTGTGTATTTCTGACTTGATTTAACACACAGATTTCCTTAACACAGAGACGATATAACATAGGTGAATAGCTCAGGCTTTGGAGCTGGCCTGGCAAGTTGGAATCCCAGTTCTTCTAGCAGCTCTTCTATCTTGAGTAAGTTACTGAATCTGTGCCTCAGTTTCCTTCTCTCTAGAATGAGGATAACCATGCTCTGTAGGTTTTAGGGTCACCATGAAAGTTAATATATGTTATGTGCTCAGGAGAGTGCCTGAAACATAGTAAGCAATCTGGAAGTTGTTGACTATTACCTTATCATTATCTTTATTTTATGGTGTTTGAGGAAAAACTGATTAGTAGACATAGTGCATGAAGTTTCCATTTTAGTGTTTCAATGCTGGAGGAACTTTCGTATACAGTGTTGCATTTACCTGCTCTAACCGGTCTAACTCATCTTCATCATACAGGCGCATGTCCAAACCAGGTTTAAATCCTTTCTTGCATGTACTTCCTGATGCCTGTCCCAATTCCATTGGACAAACATATTCTTCCCCATCTTCCTGTTTCTTCTTTCTCAGATTCCCAAAATTGCTGAAGGTCAGTTTCTTTGGCTTTAAAAGAAGAGCAAACATACAGGGATTTCATAAAATTCATGTGGCAAAAGATCAATAACATGCATAATTATGCATTCCAACTACAGAGAAAATCAGTTGGATGATTCCATTGGTGTAACAAACATAAAAGCATCCTGGGTGTATGACTGACGCACCCAAGTATGATAACTAATCCTTATTATGAAGCTCAGAAGACTAAGCTTGTTCTCCTCATTCATACCAATTAGCTGGGTAGTCACTGTGAAAAGTCAAAAATGTCAAGAGCCTTGGTTTTGATTAAACAGGACTTCATGCAATGAGATGTCTCAGAGATGAATCCAATTTTGCAAGGTTTCCCCATCTAAAATGAGCACAAGAAAATGGACCTGACTTGTATTTTCTTTTCGGGGAAGCTATGATTATCGTAGACGCCTGTTATGCTTCCGTAACAGGATTGGTGGCTGTTAGAAGAATCCTCGCTCATTTGGAGACAGAACTTCCAGTGATACTTGGAAGAGAAATTCCATAAGCAGATGGTGATCAGGCTGATGCTGAGAATTTTCTTTTCATAATGTTTATTTTATTTATTTTGAGAGACAGAGAGAGAGAGAGAGAGAGAGAGAGACGGAGAGACGGAGAGAGGGAGTGCATGCAGGGGAGGGGCAGCGAGAGAGAGAGAGGGAGAGAAAGAACTCCAAGCAGGCGCCATGCTGTCAACGCAGAGCCCAAAGCAGGGCTCGATCTCACAGTTTGTGAGATCATGACCTGAGCAGAGATCAAGAGTCAGACGCCTAACCGACTGAGCCACCCAGGTGCCCCATGATACTGAGAATTTAGGTACCACAGAATCTCTTAGACGTTTCAAATCCAGTACATCTTTTAAGGGAGAAAAGGAGCTGAAGAGAAAGTGTCAGGAAGGTAGAGGAGGTAATAAACAACAACAACAAAACATTCTATGTATGTACATAAAGAACTTGGTACATATTTGTGGAGAAGCTGATAAACCCTATCTCCACATTAAGTTGGTTGAGATAACAGACACAGAAGAGTGCACTTTTTTAATTTTTTAAAAAATCTTATTTTTTGAGAGAGAGAGGCAAAGTGCAAGTGGGGGAGAGACAGAGAGAGAGGGAGACACAGAATCTTAAGCAGGCTGAGCTGTCAGCACAGAGCCTGACATGGGGCTTGAACCCTCAGACCGTGAGACCATGACCTAAGTAGAAGTTGGACACTCAACCGACTAAGCCACCCAGGTGCCGCCCACTAAGAAATGATTTAAAAGAAGAAAAAGTAATCTGAATTTGGTATGACCCATGAATCTGGGTCAATCTGGAAAGAGTCATTCTCTGCTGGTCTACCTTGAATCATTTCTTAAGTATCTTTTTCTAACTTTCAAGGCTGGCCAACTGTAAGCCAGACAAGCTGAATCTGTGTGAGAAGAAATCCTCCTCTTAGAATGGATTTATCCACAGAACAACTGCAATCGATAGTTGAGCCCAAGTTGCAAACTCTCTGTGTTCGCAATGTACTGACTGCATGCCAACATCATACTCTTCGATACTGTTAACGCTAATAAAATAAATGATTTGAGTAAAGAAGCCCCCAAAAAGAAACTTTCAAAAATGCATTTTCTTACTTACTCTTAAAAATGGATGCACTATCAGGGACACCTGGGTGGTGCAGTCAGTTAAGCATCTGACTCATTATCTCAGCTCAGGTCGTAGTCTCACAGTTCGTGAGTTCAAATTCTGCATCAGGCTCTGCACTGATGTTGGAGAGCCTGCTTGGGGTTCTGTCTCTACTTCTCTCTGACCCTCCCCCACTTATGCTCTTTCTCTCTTTCTCAAAAGAAATAAACTTTAAAAAAAAATTTTTTTTAAAAAATGATGGACTAGCAATTCATCCACAAAACTTTACAAACCCCACAAAAATGCCTGACCCAGATGGGTAAAAACTGAGCCCCTGCTTTAGTTTTTGCTTTAAGCAATTATTAGAAGGCACAAGCTCGGACCAACCTTCACTTTGGCAGTGGCTGTTAGAAGTACATAATCTGGTAACTCCATGGCATCACGCTTTTGGTGCTGGGCCTCAGCACCAATCAGAAGGTTGAAATGAGTGGCCAAATGTCTTCGCAAGAGGGTCTTACTTGGTGGGATATTCAATAACTGAGCCATTGTTTCTACATTAAAACGAGGTTCTAGAACCTAGAAGAAACATTAAGATTGTTTAAGGCACCACAAACCATGTACGTCTGCCCTGTGCTTTATAATTTGCAAAGCTCTTTCATTTAGTTATCACCAATGACCCCTCAACTACCCAGTGAGACAGACCGAGTATGAACCTCGATCTTCAAGCCACACACCTTTTCTTTATCTTGCCTAAGCTAGTGAGAAGTAGAGCTGGTCCTGACATCCAGGCAGTACCAAAGTTAGGGCTTCTAGCTCTCTGAAGTGGTCTCTGGGATGCCTTTGGAAGCCAGCTCCTTGCACAACATCAACATGCAGAAATACAATCTGTATGTTTGTAGGTGTTTCAAAACATGATCATATGAGGGCCAGTGGCCAGTGTCTCTTACCCAACATAAGAGACAATAAATGAGAAACAGGTTTAAATCTGGTCTAGAGTTATATGACATAAAGAAAAACCATGGGAAAAAATGCTCAGAAAGTAAAGACTCACTAGAAATGGTACCAGAGGGTTCAGTTAGGTGACTCTAGGGTATGACAAGCAAACTGATAATATCCTACTCATGAGACTAATGGAAACAACATGCTAAGAAGTCAATTTTTAAATTAAAAGAGAGTTTTACCATGAGCCCACCATGAACACCACTGCCTCTGAGATTGGGGGCATATTCTGCCAAGTCCACGGAGCGCAGCCACTCCATCACACGATGGTTGGTCCACTGCTGAACCTCTGACGGGGTGATGCTATTCTATGAGAACAAACACCAAGAGCTTCAGTCATTGACGATGGGATTCCAAACATTAAAACTTCAAATTCTAAAAAGTCTGCTGCAAAGAGCAGTTACTTGATGTCCCACTCAGTGTTTACAGAAAGAGTGAAAAGGTATTTACTGGTCTGAATTTTGTTTTAAGGCATCCATGTTATGGTTTCAAGCTTTTTTACAAACTAATAAAGCAGTGCTTTAGGGAAAGCGAGTCTTTTTTTTGTTTTTAGTTTATTTATTTATTTTGGGGGGAGCAAGGGCAGAGAGAGAGGAAGACAGAGAGGGAGAGAGAGTACCAGGTAGGCTCCACGCTATCAACACACAGCCCAACATGGGCTCATGACCTGTGACATGATGACCTGAGCCGAAATCAAGAGTTGAAGAGTTGGACACAACCAACTGAGCCACTCAGGCGCCTCAAGAAAACCAAGTCTTTGTAGTGATATTTAACTCTGTGGCTTAAGGAAGCAGAAAAATACACCCAAGAAAAGGAGGAAGGGTAATTAAACAATCTTTGTGTTTTAGTTACACAGGTGGAGCTGTCATGGGGGGAATGGAAGGAAGGTAGGAAAACAAAGCCCCAGAAAGTAATGAGGTTGGATTGGAAGCTCTGTGGAAACCAGAAGCTTCTCCTGCAGACTCCACAAAGAAATGGGTGTTTGCTCTGCACACACACACACACACACACACACACACACACACACACACACACACAGTCTCACACATGGAAAGTGCAGGCTGTATAATAAATCTGAACCCCAGGTGCTACCTCATCAGATGGCCGCCTCCGTAGACAGTTTGGTTCAAAGTTATTGATCCTCAGGACCTGAATAGCCCTTTTGATACTGAGATGGTGCAGCACACTCACAACCTTCAAAGACAGTAAGTCATCCTGCAAAAAAGAACAAAAAGAGGAACTCGCTGAGCTCTAAGGATCTTCTTAGGGAAATCTCAGAAAACCTGAGCAAAAGTAGAAAAGCCCCCTAACCAAAATGCCTCCAGTGCTTGTCAGTGTTTTCAAACCTTTTATTTAGTAACAAAACCTTTTTTCCTGTTCCAAACAAAATCCTCTCCAGGACCCCATTAAAAAGAAAAAATAAAATTAATGTTCCAACAGAAGCCAACTTCTACCTGTTTCTCTTCCAGACATTCTGAGATAGGACCATGGGACCCCACAGCTCTGAAGAACATTTTTGAAAAGCACCTGCTGGGTCACTGCAAAAAGTGATCCTCTTTGAAGTGATGTGTTAAGAGCACATGATGTTCACTGACGATCACAGCTTGGTTTTCTGAGCTAAGGCACATCACCATTTTAGGGAAAACCAGAGGACTGTCTCTGCTATACTATTCCCCCAGCCTCAAAAAATCTCTAGTTCTGGATTATTATGCTTTAACTAGCAGACGCTGTGAATAATTTTGGAAACTTTATGTTGATCAATGCAAAGGTTTTGGTGAGAGTTAAAAGGAAGTTGTAAGTAGCAACATATAGCACCACCAGTTCCTTAAAAGGGTACCTTTCGCCAGTCTGTGGTTACTGGGAATGTTTCAAACATACCAATCACACCAAAACAAATTACTTCAGAAGGTGATGTGGAGGGCAGTGTCAAGATAAGCACCAGTCTACTTCCAAACACACCCAGAAAATAAAACAAGAATAACATCCATTTTAGGCACACCTTACTGATAGCATGCTTCTTGGGGGGGGGGGAAGGGGGAGGAGAGGGTTGGAAGGGGAGGCAGATCTATTACAGAAATAGTTTTTAAATAAAAATATTAGACAATCAGCTAAAATTCTTAAGGCTACTAACTGAGCAAACATTTTTTCCCTGAAAATTTTCTGGATAAATTTCTTAAAGGCAATGCCTTATGGTAAGTTAGAAAGAGCATTTCACATATTTTAATCTAAGAGCGAGACACCCATTCAAAACATTCCCAGGTGGGCTATTTTCAACTAATTAAAGTACCAGATTAAAAAAATTTTAAATGCATAATGATTGAAATGTATATACAAGGCTAATTATTTTAGCTTAAGGGATTTTAAAAGTAGGGGCTATTTTCTTTTAAATCAAACCAGACTTTTTTTAGATTTAAAAACAGCTTTCATTTTTAAGTAATTTTAGATTTACCGAAGAGTTATCAAAGCAGAGCAAAGTCCCATATATCCTTCATTCAGCTTCCCCTTATGTTAACAACTTATATAACCATGACATAGTCATCAAAACGAAGGAGTTAACATAGATTATAAAAAATGATAACTAAACTGCAGACTTCATTCAAATTTCACCAGTTTTTCCACTACGTCCTTTCTCCGTTCCAGGATCCAACCCAGGGTACCACATTAAAAACAGATTTTTTGTGGGGCGCCTGGGTGGCGCAGTCGGTTAAGCGTCCAACTTCAGCCAGGTCACGATCTCGTGGTCCGTGAGTTCGAGCCCCGCATCAGGCTCTGGGCTGATAGCTCAGAGCCTGGAGCCTGTTTCCAATTCTGTGTCTCCCTCTCTCTCTGCTCCTCCCCCATTCATGCTCTGTCTCTCTCTGTCCCAAAAATAAATAAACGTTGAAAAAAAAATTTAAAAAAAAAAAACAGATTTTTTGTGACTTAGAACTCCTAGGGTCAAATTTTCTAGGATAATATATTCTTTTATAGCCACAAAAGTTATATGCACTTCCTTTGTGATTTTAAGCCTGAATCTGCTCGCATTCCTGCAGGAACAAACCTATACCTAGACGGGCAGGCAAGAATTTACTAAATTTGTTTTAGGCTGAGCATTAAGAGCAGGAATCTGGAAAAAGCTTAGGTTCAAATGCTCTGTGACTTTCTACCACTTTCCAGCTGTGGAAAGCTGGCTAAGTTACTCAATTTCTCAGTTCTTTCACTCCCTCGTCTAAAAACTGGGGACAAGAAGAGTGCTAACTCAAGTTCTGCTGAGACTTGAGTATTAATATGAGTATAGTGCTTGCAAGAGAGTGCCTGGTACACAGTAAATGTTCAATCAATGTACCACATGTTGGGTGTTATTGCAAGCAGGTATACGTTACGTGCCCACCAAGGTATGGACTTGGGTTCAATGACACAGAAGAAAACAAAGCCCATCAGATGAACCTCAAATTTGATCCTGAAAAAATTGGTGTTTGAAAATTTCAACTTATTTAAAGAAGATACTATGGTAGATGGTTCCAGAGCCCAGCTGACAAAAGGCCCTTTAAATAAAAGCATCTAATGTAATAGTACACTAATAGTCCTATGGAATCTAGAATAGGTTCTCCTGGAATCTGTCTCTCCCCACTGTTGTAAAGTAGGGACAAGTCCTTCCACCTCTTGGATGGAAGGCTAAAAATAAGGAACAATAATGAAGGAATCAGAGGTGGTCTACCTCACCCTACTTCTTCTTTACCCTGGTAACTCCTGCCCTAGTCAAATGGAGCTGAAGTGGGAAAGGAAGCAAGTTTCAGGTAATAGTCTCAAAAGTGGAAGGGAGGAGAGAAGACAAGTCTCTGTAGATGTCAGGTCAGAAGGACGGTCTCTTCTGAGTGGATACTGCATATAGGCATGTGTAACTCAGAAATTGCCAGGGCTTCAAAACTCTACATTCTAGTTTTTAAACATCTTTATTACATATAATTCACATACTAGAACATTTATGCAAAGTGTGCACCTCAATTGTACATTGTTGAATATATATAAAATCAACTTTCTGGACAGCTTAGTTATTTTTTTAAAGTTTATTTATTTATTTTGAGAGGAAGAGAGAGAGAGAGAGAGAGAGAGGATATAGAGAATACCAAACAGGCTCTGTGTTGTCAGCACAGAGCCCAACATGGTGCTTGATCTCACAAACCGTGAGATCATGACCTGAGCAGAAATTCCAGAGTTGGACACTTAACTGACTGAGCCACCCAGGTTCCCCATGGACAGCTTAGTTTAGATTAGGTTTCACATAGCTTAAATCAGAGTTTCAAATTTCCCAGTGGTGTTGCAATCATCAAATCCTACAACTTCAACTTAACAGAAAATATTACTGCTCTTCTCAAGTTAAGGCAACACCTTCAAACCCTGGTGGAATCATTTTGAAAACAATGTATTTTACTCACTCTATTTCTGTGTTTCTCAGAGAAAAACAATTTTACCTCTCCCCACCTCCAAAAAAAAACTGGGAGTAAATCACTTACAACAGTCATGTAATGGAGCATTCGACCATCTACTCGTCCTTCGTCAAACTGCGTCTTGTACTGGGGGAGACCAATATCATCCAACCATCCTAAAGGAGAGAAATCAGTGTTGTTAGTGAGGCACAGAACACCTGTACTTATGATTAAAAAGAAAAAGCAGCTTTACTTTTTCATTCATTCGTTTGTTCGTTCATTCATTCATTCATAAATGAATGAACCCTCTTACGAGTGACCCAGTTGAAATCCAGCTTTCCGTGATTGGTTTCTTCTTCGGATCCCAGGGCTTGCAGTGCCAGCTGGAGTTTCTTTCGATGAAGTGAATGCTTAATTCCAAGTTCCTAAAATAATAAACAGAAACACCAGCTTTACAATTCTGTCAATATGGGCTGGATACCACTGGCAAAAAATGCAAATTCTCCCCAAGGGAAGCTAGTGTTAAAGAGTCAACAATCACATTAAATCAGTGTACTAACTCAGGCTAGTGAGATGTTGCTGAACAAAAGCCCTCTAGAAAGCCAAGACCACTGCAATTAGTTTAGTGGCATGCTATACTCCCTACTAGGCTCCTTCCTTCGCAAGACTGGGATTACAGCACACAAAAGAAAAATTCTACTGTTTTTGTACTAAATGTTAAATAATTAGGAAGAAATGTTAAATAATTAGACATAAGATGTAAGGCTCCTTTTCTTTCCCCCTTAATGTAAAGCTGAATTGCATACGTTACATTGAGAAGTGGGGCCCATGCTAAGCCACAGAATGATTTTGAGAAATATGAGCTTAAGGTTTATTATTATGTCGATACAACTATTTCTCGTTAAAATGCCCAGTGGCTTACATGTTTCATAAAGAACCATTAAGACCAGGTACTTCTTGTTAAGTCCGTGAAATAAAGAAAAAAAAAAAGAGTGTGAAGCAGAAAACATAAATGTTTTCAAGAGTACTGACTGGCTCCACCCACTCCCCTTTCTAGAAATCCTACATTCATAGTCTCTTTCTCAGTATCCATTGTCTAAACAAACAGAGAAGTAGTCACCTTCTCTAGATCTTGTTGAGAAGCCTGCAAAAGTGTTTGGCCAGATGCAATCCAATGCTTTCCAGAATTCAGGTAGGACCCCAAGCCTTGTTCCACAAGCCAATTGCAAACTTGTTCCTTGGTCCATTTGGCAAATGGCATGTCCAAGTCACTGTAGGAAAAGGAACAACTGCATGAAAAACAATTCAGAGGCCAACCCTGTGACTTATCATCAAGACTGAACAACTATATATCGAATTGACATGGGAATTCCCTGGTGGTACCCATTTGACCATGGAAAGTTTCAGGACATATTTGGAGGAGGAAATGGCACTGGAGTTAAAAGTACCTCATAAGACCAGGGTTTTTATTTCAAATGTAACTACAAAAGATTCAATATGATTGTGCAAGAACGTGTCATATGGAAGAAAAGCAAGTTGAAAGAACAAGTCAAGTCACTGTGCTAGTTTCAATCAATGTTGCTTGAAGACTGAATTCCAAAACAGAAAACACTAGGTTAGACTGAAAGAAATCAAGTCTAACTTGAGTTAACTTTAGCAGAATTACGGTTTCTCTCCAGGTGGTAACCAATGGGAAGAGAGCAATATGCCATCACTGAGTATAGAAAAATGTAAACAACGACAAAAGAAAAATGTAATCAAAGCAAAGTTCTGGGTTTTTTGGTTTTTTACTTTGACACACAGTGCGTTCCTCTTTGAAAAAAAAATATGTAAATAAACAAGACTTTTTTTTTTTCTAAAGCACAAGGAAGTCCTCTACTGTGTACAAAGAGAACATATGGCAAACGAGACTCCAGTATTTGAAGAAAGCCAGAGTTTCCTCCTTGATGAAACTTGTGTCCAGTCTTCTGCGTGAGTGGGAGGGACCATGTTTAAAGGGTTTCGAGCCCATTATCACATTCAAAAGATTTAGTATCAATGATTTGTACTAGATGTTTGCCAACCCCACCCTCTTTATTCTTAGTAGGTCAGTGTAGTAATCTCAAACCGGCCCTAAATTGGGATAAGAGTGAAGGAAAAGTTAACAGAGTCTTAACAGAGAAAACATCACAAGGTCCTGATAAATTTAATAATTCTGATAGAATTTACATCTTTAGGTGCTTTCACAGAATCCATTAGTCATTAATGTTGCTTGAACAGTTACCATTTGCCAGATACTTAATGCATATAAACTCAATTACCTTTTGGGGAATGTACTAATTAACACCATGGAAACAAGGGCACAGAGCATGGAAGTAGTTGCTCAAGGTGACCCAGGTTATAGGAAGTGGTAAGGCCAGAAATCAGATCCAAACAGTCCAGAACTTAACGACTATGCTATCCCATCTCTCCAGAGTTGTGCTTTAGAGTACTTACAGTAATTATTTTCTCTGTCAAATTTAAGTCCAAAAATCATTCCAACCGAGACGTTGCTGACACTTTAGCTCTGGTCCCTCCCCTAGCTCACAGAGCCCCCCATCTTCTGCATGATTTTCACCAACCAATGCCAAATGGCACTGCCCTATAAAGATGATGGACCCTTTCGCTAGGCATAACAGTAAGCAATGGATTCCACCATCCAACCCAGGGACAATACTAACATCGCAGGTGTTCACGGCCATGACACTTAAGTAGACATGTAAAAAGTTCATTCATTCGGCTGTTCTCACCTGTTAGACTGTCCCAAATCTCGAGACCAACCCAGTCGCGGCCCTGCGGTTGCCCTTGTTCCTCCTCTTTTGAATTCAGGCTCAGACATGTCATCTGGATTGAATGTAGTTGACTGACTTCTCCTAAGTCTGAACAGAAGACACAATACCATGTTGCCCTGTATGAGACCTGAAGAGACCTTAGACTTTAATCAGACCATTGCTTATGTATGGTCGGAACAGATACTTGGATTTCAATGTTAACTGAGACCCAATGAGTTAATGAATGCCAGATCACAATCTTCCTTCCATAAAGGGAACACAAAAGACTTAAAGTTTCACACTTCTTTCCCGCCAATTTTCCATTTACTCCTACGTTTGAGCAACATATAATACAAAGCCCACTCCATTTGTGTGCTCTGTTACTTACTTTCCAAAGAGTTTCATGATACCTCTGGATTTCTTTTTGGAATCTGGCGATGGCGGAGATATCTGGAAGGGACTACTTCCCAGCGCATCTTTTGGCCGGGAAGATACACCAGCAAGATCTAGGTGCTCAGCTGTCTCCTTCTCTGTTTCAGCTATTCCAAGAACAGAATACAAACTCAATGAGCTTTAAGTATGGAATGAATGTGACTAAATGTTATTAACCTTTTTGGTTTTAGCAATTGTTATACATTCTTCTTCTGTTGTTCTTTCATCAGTGATTTACAAATAGCACCCTACAAATACTAAAAATGGAACACAGATGTATGTTTTGCTCTGTTGGCTGTTCTGTATAAATTAACAGTATGTAGAATATTTTGTATGATATTGTGTATAGATTAACTTACAAGTGATAGCCTCTTTGAGATTCAAAGGTATGAGAGGATTGTAATAATCTTTCCTCGAGTGATTGAATTAATAATGAAATCATTCTCAATCTTCGCAAAGCACTTGGTACTGTGGACTCCCTCCTCCATTCTTCAACATCACCATCTCCTTCACCTTCTTGTTATGACACTCTCCCAAATCTGCCATCTGATAGTTTCTTCTTTGCTGTAGCACCTGTTTTCTCTTCCTCTTTCACTCCAAGATTCTGCTCTACGTCCCCTCAGTAGGATCTCTAGACAAGCTCACCCACTCCACACTCAGCACTAAATGATGGCTTCCCTCATATATAAGCAGCTGGTATCAAAACCTGTGGACCTAATCTCTCTCCCCAGGCTCAGTATATGAACATCTATGGATACTCCCAATTTGGTGTGCCAGGGACATCTTGAACTCAACAAACCATGCAATTTTCCTGAGTCTTCTCTTAAATTTGCTTTTTAAATATTTCCTTAATACTAATTAATATTCTCCCTCTTACTCCAGTTCAAACTCTTTGTCATAGTCTTTTCACTCCCTCCTCTCCTTTGCCATTTACATCAAATCTCAGTTACCAATTTCCATCAATTCTTTTTGCAAGAGATGTATTCCTATTTATCTCTTGTTATGTGTTGAGAAAAGAATGAACTGATAGGCATAAATTTTTCTTTAGATATAAAATCAGTGCCTGTTGATTCTGCCTTGAAAGAATAACATCCAAATTTGCTACTCCTCAGTTTCTGAGCATTAACTAGCTTAATTCATTCAGCTGTCCCTTCATGGATGATCCCACACTAGCAAACACAAGGGGTACTGTTTCCTCAATGTGAGACTGTATGCTTTTTCAGGAAAGTAAAAATTGTACACAAATCACAGGAACGATGTTTCAGCAAGATAAAAAGTTGCAGAGATTGACTTTTCTATGAAGCACAGCTGTGATTATAGGTTATAATAAGCAGTACTCGGCTCTTAGCATTGACAATTTATTTCTTCTGAGAAAGATGCAAAAAAATTTGAAAATAGTTGTCTGGATTTTATCCCATGTTTATCCTAGAAATGTAAGACTACAAAGAGAGAGGTTACCTTTACTGACCCACATGAAGAGGCATGTGGGTACCTACGCAAGATAATAAAACCAAAATCCAAAGGAGCCTTTGAAACCCTAAAGCCATCATGGGTACTGGCATGCCTGAAAATGTTGCCTAACTCACCCTCATTTAAGAAGCATCCTATTCTTATTTTTTGTCTTGAGGATGCTTTTTCCCTACTGAGCCTCCCCTCTCCTTAAATCACTTTGGGGGTGACTCCTCGGATATCACATAGAGCTCCTTTGGGTGTCACTAAACGTCACCTCCATCTTCAAAGCAATCAATGTCGGAATGATGTCCCCCAAATGAAGTAAGTCTGAGATGACCATATTCAACATCTTCTACAGACTTCTCTATTTGGTTGAAAACATTTCTCTCTGGGGATAACGTAAACATGGAGAAGAAGGTACTGCTGGGACCTGGGAGTTAGTGTGAGACAGTGTGCACTCGAAGGGTGAAAAGGCTGGAATTTATGATGCAGGATAGTCCTGCCCTGGTCTCCGAGGGGTGCTGTGTGCACTTCCAGGTCCCCCCAGAGCCCCTCGCGAGGTGTCATTAGCATGGGTTAAAACAGCATTTAGGCTTGGAAGCATAGGCTCTACAGAGAGTCCTAATTTTCAGCAGGAGGTGGAAGGAACTCTCTGGAGTAAAGGACTACATTTCCTGATTGCTGCCAGCTCGCTTTCTAGAGATCACAGATGCCCAGGGCAAGGATTAGCTCAGTTTGGAGGACAGCACTGGCAAAGGCTGGCATGCAGGGGTACGATACCTAAGGTGGGTGCACTGGCACTTCGTTTACGATCTTCAGATATCCCAACAACGCACACAATCACACGCAGCCCAATGGAGAGAACACAGGAGAATGGCAAAATGAAACACGGATCAAACTCCTACTCACAAATTACACACAGTGGGAGGAAAGGCAAGCACCACACTGTGCTTCCAACGTTGCAGACTCCATTAGCAGTTTCAATATGGGGTTAATCTACCCACTTTCAAAACAGATGAGAAGCTGTTTACAATGAAGTCAGAGGGCATCAGGGTTTTTGGTCTTTCCTCTACGTTTATGCCCCAACAAGGAGAGCAGGGTGAGAGCCTACCCAGAACTATCTTTACCACTGAATTCAACCGATGGAAGCCTTTTTTTTTTTTTCCTAACTTTTCCCCCAAGTCATACACCTTCATTTCTGAGAAAGAGAAAAACACACAAATAGATGAACGAGGGAAGAGATCGATCTTTTCCTCATTCTGAAAGAATTAAAGCAAAGGCATTTTGGCCACACATACCCAAGTTGGGGGCACTTGCTGTCCTCTTGTTACTTTTTATTTTAAAAAAGCCACGCCCAAAGGAAGATCTGGCTTTTCGAGTGCCAAAGGGGTTGTCATCCATGGAGGCATCATGCCCTGCAGCTTTTGGAGGGAGGCTTCCAAATGGGCTGCTTTCTGCCGGAGTTTTATCCTGAGAGAGAAGTAATAATAAATGTAACACAGCACTAACTTGCATAATTATTAGCACATGCCGGGTGCAACACCTGATATGTTACATATTTGACTTTATTTTGAAAAATGATGGAACTAACAGATTGATTACAAATATTATAAGTTTAAAAGGTCAATGCTGAAAGCTACTTAAGAAAACAACAGCTATGGCAGCAACAAAAACATGGTCATCACTCACGTGCTTAGGACTTGAAATATTTAAGGTACAGAAATCCTAAAATTTGGGGCGCCTAAGTGGCTCAGTCAGTTGAGTGTCTGACTTTGGCTTAGATCATGACCTCACAGTTCGTGAGTTCAAGCCTCTGCGCTAACCGCATGGAGCCTGGAGCCTGCTTCGAGTTCTGTGTCTCCCTCTCTCTCTGCCCTTTCCTGCTCGCGCATGCACGCTCTCTCTCCCTCTCTCTCAAAAATGAATAAACATTTAAAAAAATTTTAAAAAAAGCCAACACTGTAAAAAAAATTCTCAATTTTTATTTGCCTCATTTCCCTCAAGGACATGGAAATAAGATATTACATAACCAGAACACCAGTAGGTTTCTTATTTTTCTAACAATTATGACACATATTTGGCTATAACACAGTTCAGTCTTTGTAATATAACTGCATCAGTAGAAGCCCAATATAATATAATCACTCTACAAAGCAGGCATTAACCCCACTTCTACACCAGCAGTATAAAGAGATTCTACTCTAGTTATTTTAAATATTCTTCTCAAAGAATTAATAATAAAATGAAGACACAATCAGTGACTGTTAAATATTAAAACACAATTTTTTTAATGTTTATTTATTTCTGAGAGAGAGAGAGAGAGAGAGAGAGAGAGAGAGAGAATGAGTGGGGGAGGGGCAGAGAGAGAGGGAGACACAGAATCTGAAACAGGCTCCAGGCTCTGAGCTGTCAGCAGAGCCTGATGCGGGGCTCGAACTCACAAACCGTGAGATCATGACCTGAGCTGAAGTCAGTCGATCAACCGACTGAGCCACCCAGGTGCCCCTCTTCTCAAAGAATTAATAATAAAATGAAGACACCATCAGTGACTGTTAAATATTTTTTTTAAGTGGTGTTCTGGAATATATTCATATCTTGCCTGCAAGTTACCAAACACGGATGACTAATTTTCAAAGACTATGCAGATATACTTAACATCAAAACTAAACTTGCTATAATTAAATTTTTCTTCCTTGATTTAGAAGCCACTTGGGCTCTCCACAATATTTCAAGGTATTTATGAAGAACTGTAATTAAGTTATACTTGTATTATTTTTTTAATTTATTTTGAGAGAGAGTTCATGTGAATGGGGCAGGCAGAGAGAGAAAGAGAGACAGTATGAGTGGGGGAGGGGCAGAGAGAGAGAATCTCAAGCAGGTTCCATGTTGTCAGTGCAGAGCCTGACATGGGGCTTGATCCCAGGAACTGTGAGATCATGACCTGAGCTGAAACTAAGAGTCAGACACTTAACCAACTGAGCCTGCTTAGTAATCTAACTATTTAAAAAAAAAAAAAAATTTTTTTTTCACATTTATTTTTGAGAGACAGAGAGAGATAGAACACGAGTGAGGGAGGGGCATAGAGAGAAGGAGAGACAGAATCCGAAGGAGGCTGCAGGCTCCGAGCTGACAGAACAAAGCCCGACACGGGGCTCAAACTCACAAACTGTGAGATCGTGACCTGAGCCAAAGTCGGACGCTTAACTGACTGAGCCACCCAAGCGCCCCATAATCTAACTATTAAGTTATAATTTAAGTACTGTTTATTTTTGGGGTACCTGTGTGGCTCAGTCAGTCAAGCATCTGACTCTCAGTTTTGGCTCAGATCATGATCTCACGGTTTTGTGAGTTTAAGCCCCACATTTGGCTCTGTGCTGACAGAGCAGAGCCTGCTTGGGATCCTCTCTCTCTCTCTCTCTCTCTCTCTCTCTCTCTCTCTCCTTCCCTCCCTCCCTCCCTCCTCCCTCCCCTACTCACGCTGTCTTTCAAAATAAATAAACTTAAAAATTTTTAAATAAAAAAATTACTGTTTATTTTTGAGCTTTCTGGTTATTTGAATATGCAGTTACAGAAAGATGATCTATTATATTGTTGTAGTATTATCCAAACAAAGATGCTTTTGTTTGCATGTTTTCATTTCTCTAAAATCTCTTGCCCTCTGTTTCTTTTATTGCAGAGGTGGAGAAAGGGAAGAGGGGACACAGGCTTTAAGGTGGTGATTTTATTCTACGTATCTACTGCTCATCATAACTACAAGTTTGTAGGTGCTACAATTCAGTGATTCTGTTATCTGTGTCATTACTGATGTCAAAATCACTTAATAATTTATTGAACTGGAAAGACAAAAAGGACAGAGAATGACTGTAATCACAGCTGTAGAGACTGTCTGTGTCTCATCAATGATACCTACATTATGGCTCAAGGCATTAAGAGCCAACAGTCAAGAGAGTGCACTTGGAAGTAGCCGCTCTACCAGAACCAATAGCCTCTCTACCCTTTACAAAGTTGATGATTAAAAATCAGAGGAAAGAAGAACCAGAGCCCCTGTTGATAATGTCTTTAAAAAACAAAAAACAAAAACCAAACCAACAAAAAAAAAAACCACCAAAATGTTTGCTGTAAACAGACAGTGGCTATAGTAAATGAATGGCTGGTCTAAGACTGGTGATCTAAGAAGGACTTTTTGTGAGGTCTAAGGAAGTCAAAGTATGACCATTAAGAACATCAACAGCCTGATTTGAGTGTTTGGGGTTTTTTGGTTTGTTTTTTTACAAGTTTATTGAGGTGAAATATAAAAAGTAACTACTCTGAATCGAACAATTCGATGGCATTTAGTACAATCACAGTGTTGTGTAACCATTATCCACCTAGTTCCACAGCATTTCCATCATTCTCAATAAAACCCCTTACCCATTAAGCAGCTTCCCTTCCTCTCTCTCCATCTCTGGCAACCACCAATCTGTGTTCTGTCTCTATGGGTTTATCTATTCTGGATATTTCACATAAGTGGAATCATTTCATGTGTGATCTTTTGTGTCTGGCTTCTCTCATTTAACATGTTTTAGAGATTCTAAGTTTTGGTTTTTTGGAGGCATTTAAGCAATCACAGGTATTAGAAGTCTCAAACATATTTGTATTATAATCTAGACATAAAAATTACCTCTGAAGGCTTCTGGACAGACTCTGTATCCTGTTCAAAACAACAACAGTATTTTAAGGTTGTTACAGGAATCCCTTATATATTGAGAATGTGTCACATACAATTCCATAAATTAAATTTACATCTACTTCAAAGCTATACAATTTCAGTTTCATTTACTTTCAGTAATGGTTTATTAAAGTCTTCATTTTTTTGTTTTATATACTACTTTCAATCCTTCATATTCACATTTCTTAATATTCACCATTAACAGTGATATCTAATAATTTTTCATTAGAGAAACTACAAGCTCTTCTTAAAAGAGTTTTATCTGCAAAATGGAAAATATGAAGAACCCTGAAGATTTTCTTCTCAGGGTAACCAAGAGAAAACAACAACAACAACAACAAACAAACAGAACCAACCCCATCTGATGACTCTTTCTTCAGATTGCCCAGGCTGCTGGACTTTTGCAGACTCGAAGTTCTAAAAATAACAATAATAGTAATAAGGATTGATAATAAGTGCCTCTGGTGCCACTGTTTCTAAGTAGAGTATCTTGGAAAGAAACTAAAATTGTGTGTGGGTCGAATCCTGGTAATAAAAGAAACTCTGGATTCAGGCAGTCACTTATGTGCTTAACTAAATTATAACATTTCGTTCTTTTAAAAGCGAGGTGGTTAACTGTCCTGCCAATAACTCTAAATGTCCTGCACATGGTAGGATAGCTGGAAAAACACGTAGGACTATCCCTGTGATGTCAATATTTGAAAGTGAAACAGTGTTTTCCATGGACTAGTGGTGCATCCTTTGCCTGTATACATTTACACCAGAAACTTTCAAAATACTCACATACTATTTATATATAATCCTTGTAATTAAAATAAAGGACCAAAGCGTTACAATTCAGTTCACAAAGGAATCAATTTTCTGAATCTGACAAAGCACTTCATTTTATAGTTATGATCAAGGCATAATAGAAAAATCCCCGTTGCTGCCCACAGTAATTTATTTACTATCCTAGTAAAGGCAAAGTGACCCTGTAAACATCCAGAGACTTTCTTTCACATAAGTAGCATTCAATTATATAGAGCTGGTCTTGCTCAGATTTTGAAGGCAGGAATATGTGACCAGCTTAAAAAAGAGATAGAAAAAAGCAACATCTTTCCTCTAAGAGGCAGAATAATATAAACATACAAAGAACCTTTTTAAAGGCAATTCTCGGGGCACCTGGATGGCTCAGTCGGTTAAGCATCCGACTTCGGCTCAGGTCACGATCCTGTGGTTCGTGGGTTCAAGCCCTGCGTCAGGCTTTGTGCTGACAGCTCAGAGCCTGGAGCCTGCTTCGGATTCTGTGTCTCCCTCTCTGTCTCTCTGCCCTCCCCTGCTCGTGCTCTCTCTCTCAAAAATAAAGACTAAAAAAAAAATAAAAAAAATTGGGAGCACCTGGGTGGCTCGGTTGTTAAGCATCTGACGTCAGCTCAGGTCGTGATTTTGCAGTTCGTGGGTTTGAGCTCCGCATCAGGCTCTGTGCTGACAGCTCAGAGCCTGGCTGCTCAAATTTGTGGTTCCCTCTTTTCTCCCCTCCCCCCACTTTTGCACTCTGTCTCTCCTCTCTCTCTCTCTCTCTCTCAAAAATAAATAAACATAAAAAAAATTAAAAGGCAATTCTCATATATTTACATGTAAATAAGTTGCCAGAAGTGCTGACTACCATGGGAATGCAAGCTGGTGGCCTCTGAAATCATATGGAGGTCTTCAAAAAAAATGAACACCATCGATCCAGCAATTGCACTACTGACATTTATCCAAAAGGGATACTAGGTGTGCTTGTTTCAGGAACACATGCACCCCATTAAGCAGCCTTATCAACAATATGCAAGGTATGGAAAGAGCCAAATGTCCATCGAGGATGAATGGATAAAGATGTAGTAAATATACATACAATGGAATGATACTCAGCAATCAAAAAGAATATGAAATCTTGCCATTGGCAACTTCGTGGATGGAACTGGAGGGCTATGCTGCTAAGTGAAAGTGTCGAGGAAAGACAAAATCATAAGTGACTTCACCTCAATGAGTGATTTTAAGAAGACATAAAACAGATTCATAAGGAAGGCAAGACAAAATAATACTAAACCGGGGGGGGACAAAACAGAAGAGACTCATAAATATGGAGAACAAACTGAGGGTTACAGGAGGCCAGTGATGGAGGGGATGGGCGTGGGTAGGGCACCTAGGAATTCTCCTGAAACTGCACTATATACTAACTAATTTGGATGTAAATTAAAAAAATTAAAAAGAAAATTAAAAGAAAAAAAAGTGTTGACTACCAAATAAAAGAACAAAATAAACAAAAGATCTCATCTTTGAGTACTGCTCTGAACATATATTTTCCTAATTTAATCCAGACTTTTACTTGGATAAACACAGATGTTGGGTTGGTTTACTACCCTGAAAGTGCAAAAAACCATTGTAGCCTTTCCAGCCAACACACCATCCTCTGTGACTCTTTTCTGCTAGAGTAAAACTGCAAGTCAGTGCAAACCTCAAATTCAAAGCACTGAACTTCACATGAAAGCTGATGAAGGAAGGTTAAAGATGGGCAAAAACCTGGCATGAGATAATGGTCAACGAGCAAGTATTTCTTTGTTAACTTACAAACCTCACCTGCACCCCCATCCAACCACTACACCTGCATTAATGTATTCAGGCCTCAGAGTCATTTGCTTTTAATTTTGGTTATTGTTAGTGTAATAGAAGCTTCCTCTCTGCCAGGTCTCAAGTGACATTTTTTACATTCAATAATATGACTTACGAAAGACTATCAGAAGGCTGGGTTTCAACAGCAGCACCAAGGATTATTTTTCCATCACTAAAATGTAAAAAAAAAAAAAAAAAAAAAAAAAAAAAAAAAAAAAAAGAAAGAAAAAAAAAGAATTTATACCCTGTAAGAGTAAAAGAGCATACATATTCTAAGTGAACACAACTGTCAAAAACAAAAAACTGTGCGAGGGAATATATTTCACTCTCTTTACAAATACTCCATTATATTTTCTTTTATTTGGTCTAATTGTAAGACTAAGCAATTGAGAATATGCTCCCTCAAAATTCTACTTGCTGATGGAGAAACTAGGGTATCCCTGTCCTGAATCCTTCCCAGCCATCCTGCAGGCAGCCTCAGGCACATGACTGTCACTATGGACCTGGCAACACTTGTTGACGGCCACCTATGACCTAGACATAAAGCCCAAATGCCCTAAAATCCCTCTCTAACCTGACCACCATACCTCCCCTGACTCCTCTCTTGTGACTCCTTGCTTCCACACCTTTTATTTCAATAATACAGAACTGATTTCAAGTCCCTTGGCCCATGCCTTCCTGTTTCTTGCCCCTGTGAAAAATTATGTTTGTAAATGAATGCAGCGCATCCTTGTCTTTGCTTGACCTACTCTGTTGAACATTTATATTGCAATGTCAGAACATAAATGACGTACTTCTCTTCAAACGAAGTCTCTGGTTGAGGCAATTTTGCTTTTTCGGAAATTTCCAAGCCCTTAGATGCTGGCAATAATGAAGGGACCGAAACTTGCAAGATACCGGTGTGGAACTGTAATGTAATTACAAAAAGGCCAAAAATCAATCCATCAAACAAAACATAAGTTACAAAGAAAAAAAAAAAGAAGTAAGACAATTACACGGTCTATCGATAAAATTTCATACACCTGGGTTCAGCACGCTATTCTTATATTTACAAAACAGTCTCAGTATATAAACATCAATAAGTGTTCGTCAGAGAAAACCTTCTGGAGGAAGGTCATCCGTGAACTTGGTTCTGAATAAAACATAATAAATCCCATCAAGTAAGTTAATAGCCAATCCTGACAACTTGAAGTCCCAGTTAAAATCTTGGCTCTGGCACACTTGCCTAAGTGACCTTAGGTAAGTCACTTAACTAGGTGTCAGTTTTCTCTCCTGCAAAATGAGAATGGCAATGCCTACCGTACAGGGTTGTCATGATTTAAGATGAGATTTGGGTAAAGCGCTTTGTAAACACACCTCTGTTCTCTCTCTCTCTCTCTATCTTTTTTTTTTTAAATTTTAGAGAGGTTGGGGGAGAGGGCAGAGGAAGAGAGAATCTTAAGTAGGCTCCATGCTCAGTACCTGGAGCCTGACAAAGGGCTCCATCCCACGACCCTGGGATCATGACCTGAGCCAAAATCAAGAGTCAGACGCTCAACTGCCTGAGCCACTCAGGCACCCCTGTTTTCACTTTAATTTCTACCACCAGTCTAACACAGAATGTTGTTCAAACTGGTTAATTTGTGGATACAATTAAAATGCTTTGCTTAATAACAATATTAGAGCCACAACAAAAATGCATGGCACATTTTCCCCAACAAATGCCTTACGTATTCTAGGGATGGAATCTACAAAAGAAATTTTATACTCTGGCTTTAAATAGTTTCTGACAACTGTAGAGTACTTAGGTTGTGAGCATGTCATAAACTAATAAACCAAACACTTAAAAACAACTCTGGTAAAGAAAAATAAACAAAATTCACCTCAGTGAATTCACTTTGCCAGTCAACCAATTAGTGACAGCGCTTCACTTCTGAAGTCAACCAGGCAGGTAGGGATTCACACCAGTGAACACACATCTAGAGGCCAATCAGTCAACAGCCTCACCTTTGTAACCACACATTCACAGCTGATGTCAACTCACTCCAGTCTCTGCAAGGCCACCAGTCCCCGAGCTCCAAGCATCCCCCGAAACCCCACATATGATCAGCTGAAGAGATTGTCTGAGACCAACAAAGTTCCCTTTGTTAAATAAATAGGCAATAAATTTAGCTTTGTGGATTTCTGTTTCAGTTACTGAGGGTGGTCTCCTCCCTTGACACTATAAACGGTTATAACATGTGAAGTCTGTTAAAATAACCCGATTGGGCCCAAGACGGAGTGGCCTGTATTAAGCTCCATGTCAGCAAACCCAAACTTAGCTAAATTTCTATGCTCGGTGCAGAGAAGGCTCGGTGCCCAGAAAAGGCAGGCTTAGGTCAACCAATTAGTGCTTGCCTTCTCTACACAAGTTACCTGACCCTGCTCCAAGACTCCCCTTCGCTGCACATAAGGAAAGTAACCCTACTCGAACCAACCAGCAAATGCCTAGCATGACCCCCTGTTCCTCTTTCCTTCTGCCTAAAAAAGCCTTTCATTTTGTACAGATCCTTAGAGTTCCTTTCCACCTGCTAAGGTGAATGTCCCTCGATTCATGAATTGATGAATAGAGCCAGTAAGAACTTTAAAATCCATTCGGTTGAATTTTGTTAACAGCAAGTCGTATTTATTGTAAAATAGGAAATTATTACACTATCTTTTTTTTTTTTTTAAGTTTGAATCTTTATGATTAGTTCTGGGCCACTTATTGAGCCATTACCCCTGTGGTACGAAGTTTACAGTAGCTCCTTGGGTTCCTAATCATGGGGATGTGGGTGGGAGGGATGGTTCCACTAACCAAGTGACCCATTTTCTTGATTTCATTTCAAACTTTAGGGCTTTAACTACAACCTCAAAATCTCCCTCCCAGCTTTCCTTTAACCAAGTCGCTGAACATGCTCAATCATCATCAAATCATTGTTTCCAAACTAAAAGTCTCATTAAAGTAGAATTCACATAGCAAAGGCTTTTTGTTAAGGATATGAGATTATCTAGGCATATCTTACATGGAATAGCTATCTTTCTGTATACATGCAGCATACTCAGCGGCTGTCAAATATTAGTTTTCCCTTCAATATAAATATGTATATAGCGGGGCGCCTGGGTGGCTCAGTCGGTTAAGCGTCCGACTTCGGCTCAGGTCATGATCTCGCGGTTCGTGAGTTCAAGCCCCGCGTCAGGCTCTGTGCTGATGGCTCAGAGCCTGGAGCCTGTTTCAGATTCTGTGTCTCCCTCTCTCTCTGACCCTCCCCCGTTCATGCTCTGTCTCTCCCTGTCTCAAAAATAAATAAAGGTTAAAAAAATTTTTTTAAATATGTATTTAGCAAGTAGGGAATTTTTTTCCCTCTAAAATATTTCTTATTCCTTAACTAACTCTTTGTTTCTCTCTTCCAATTTTATGGAGATATCACTGACATGCAGCAGTATATAAATTTAAGGTATACAGTATAATGACTTACAGATTACTGTGAAATGATCACCACAGTAAGCCTAGTTAACATCCATCACCTTGTCTAGTTACGAAGGGAAGGGATGGGAAGGGACAGGAATAGAAGGAAGAAAGAAGAAAGAAAAAGAAGAAGGAAAAACATTTTTTTTTTCCTTACGATGAGAACTTTTTGGATCTATTCTCTTAGCAATTTTCAAATATACCAGAGAGCAATGTTAACTATAAGCATCATGTTGTACATTACACTCCCAGCACTCATTTGTCTCATAACTGGAAGTTTGTACCTTTTGACCACCTCCCTCCAATTTCCCTTACCCACTAATTTCTTATTAATGACATCCTTTAGCCCTGTCTTACATTTAAGAGAGAAATGTTAATTGTTTCCTCCTTGAATTCTTTTGCAGTCAATTCAAATTTCCTTTTCTCACCATGTAATTATCAGGAACAAATAGGAAAAATAAAGATGCCACTCAGTTTCTTGTCACCCCATAGAGCAAAATGTTAAAAGAAAAGATGACCAAAGAAAGAAATGTTAAACATAAGGGAGCCAAAACTGTTCTGTTAAAAAAAAAAAAAAAAAAAAAAGACAGAAAAAAAAACCCTTCTTATTCTTAGTTTCTCTAGACAGCACATTACACTAAAATTCAGAAATACTTTCGGGGAGTCTGGATGGCACAGTTGGTTAAACATCTGACTCTTGATTTCGGCTCAGGTCATGATCTCACAGTTCATGAGTTCAACCCCTATGTCAGGCTCTGTGCTGACAGCATGGAGCCTGCTTGGGATTCATTCTCTCTCTCTCTCTCTCTCTCTCTCCCCCCTCCCGCCCTCTCAAAAATAAATAAATAAATATTTTAAAAATTAAGAAACAGTTTCAGGGCAAAGATCGAGGTGCTGTCAGGAAAACAGTCTTAAGATGAAGCCATGGGTGTGCCTTTGTTAAGACCTCAGGAAGACTTAAGGAGGTGCTATCTCAGTGAACCCTTCAAAAGAGCAAAACCTCTCAAAGTAAAGGGATATTCCAAGCAGCCTTACAGAAAACTTTAGGTAGAAGAAGGCTTATTGTGAAGATATTTGCGGATATGCCTTACCTGACGGACTGGATTATAAATTAATTCTTAAGAAGTTCCAAGTAAATAAGCTATTACACCAAATTAGACAGACAGGGAGGGACAGAAGGTAGAAGGCCTTGGACCCGTACAGACACTTTGACAGAAAACGACTCATCTGCAATTAGAAGTTCCTTATTTTTTTTTTTTTTTAACGTTTATTTATTTTTGAGACAGAGAGAGAGACAGAGTATGAACGGGGGAGGGTCAGATAGAGAGGGAGACACAGAATCTGAAACAGGCTCCAGGCTCTGAGCTGTCAGCACAGAGCCGACGCGGGGCTCGAACTCACTGGCCGCAAGATCATGACCTGAGCCGAAGTTGGATGCTCAACCAACTGAGCCACTCAGGCGCCCCTACAAGTTCCTTCTTACGGAAATGGAAAGATGCCTCAGAAGGAATAACCAAGAGCCCAGGGGACTGGGCTCTGTCAAAGAGCTGGCAATGTAGGCCTGGCTCAATTTTGGAATTGCTATGGACTAATGACACCTGTGTGTCTTCCACTTTCCCTCTTTTTTAAATGGGAATGCTGAGCAGTTGTTGTGCCTATCCCACCACAGTACGACAAGTGTAGAGGGGACACATAGCTTGACCTTTAAGTTCCTGGTTCTTTAAATGGAATGAAGTGCTCTTCGAGAAGTTGTGCCCAAGAAGATGTGAGGAGCTTCACCTACATCTTGACCTCGTGTGGATGATGAGATTCTGGATGTTGATGCCTAACTGGAATGAGACCAAGAGGTTTCTGAAGAGAGGGTGAGTGTATTTTGCATGGGAGAGGGGTGTAAATTATCATAGTCGGAGAGTGGAGAGGCAGATTGTACTATTCAGATGTGGCTGCACCAGTTATGCCACCCCACGTGTTCTTCTTATAATGTGCTGTCGTTACTTGTCCGTCAAGAGGTAGGGTCTATGCTTCCCCTCTGTGAATGTGTGTGGACCTGTGACTACAGGAGAAGAGCTGCTACATGACTTCAGAGTTCTATCATAAAAAGTGACAGAAATTTGCCCGGTTCTCTTAGGATGCTCATCCTTAGGACCTAAACACTATGCTATGAGAAAGCCAAGCAGTCACATGTCCAAGCAGGGCCTCAGCTGATGTCCCAGCCAAAAGGAGCCCCACCCATAAAGACATACAAATGGGCAGCCTTCGTGCCTTTCGAGCCGATGCCCAGTGGAGCGAAAATGAAATATTCCTGCTGAGCCCTGCCCAAATCACAGATCCATCAGCAAAATAAGTGTTGTCATTCAGGTCACAATGTTTTGGGGTGGTTTGCAACAGATAATGGAAACAGGTTTTGGCACCAGTTGGATGTGAAAGAAAAGTAAATGAGTTCAAGACTGAGTATTCCTGTCCAGTTGCTTTTTCCAAGCCTAAAGAAGTCAAGGAAACTTTAGTCCATCATTTTTTAGAGGCACAATCAGAAGTGACTAAAATCAACTTCTTTATATAATCAAACTTTATCCCCACTTCATTTATTCCTTACTTATTCTTTAATAAATAGATTGTCCTCTCCTATTTAGGATGACCTCATTCTCCCATGTTTTTCTTGCATTATTTAAATAATTTTGACATCACCCAAGGCATTTATTTATTAAAGAGAGAGGGGAAAAAACACACATTTCAAATGAAGTCCTATGAGACACAAAAACTGCCAAAACTCAGTCAGTAGTCAAGCTGAGAAAAGATCCCATGTCTTTCATGTTGTCAACAGCATCTTAACCTTCGATGACACAATCTCTTCATATTGTCAGCAATATGAATCTCAGCAAAAAACTGAGACTCTGTAAATACCTCTTCTGGAACACTTGTGTTAAATGGGTCACGGCTGGGAGATCCCATTACTGGTGTAGGTGACAGACTTTTCTCCAGGTCACTAAAACCTTGTGCATCCAGCAAAGTGGAGATGGAACTGGATGTGAGCAGATCTTCAAAGTCGCTATCTTGGCCTAGAAAAAGACAAAACAAAAGGAGGACAACAGCAGCTTTTCATTTACATTTCACTTTTGGTGGAAGAATACCAACTGAATATAATTTTTTTTTTTTCCTTATCTTCAAAAACCAAAGACTCGACTTCTCCTGAAATCATTAGAAAAATAACAACATGGCATCTAGGAAACATCCCAAACTATGAGCACCTGCGGCTTGGGGGTGGTGTTAACAAAGGTATTAATTCATGGTAGTTTTAATAGATATAATCATGGACGCACAGCATTGAAATGAAAAGTTAATTTAGTCCAAAAATCCTCCCATAATTTTGTTTCAGATTTTAGGCCTTTACAAATTTCAGTTCAGAAATAACCAAGCTGGAGAATACCAGTGGTATAACAAACTAATTCAGAATAGTAATACAGCCACCCAGTAAACAACTCAATCTTCATCACTACTGTGTTCTTGGAAAACAAGAAAACAAAAAACAACAACAACAACAACAAAAAATAGAAAGAAAAAAGGAAAAGAAAAAAAGATAGGCAATCTTTTGATTCCTTAAGAGGATCCCTGTATTTCATTTATTTTAAGGCAGAAAGAATAGCCTTAGGGACAAATTCAATCATATATCCAGGAAAGCAGCAACTTTAAGAATTTCTTTTAGGGGCGCCTGGGTGGCGCAGTCGGTTAAGCGTCCGACTTCAGCCAGGTCACGATCTCGCAGTCCGTGAGTTCGAGCCCCGCGTCGGGCTCTGGGCTGATGGCTCAGAGCCTGGAGCCTATTTCCGATTCTGTGTCTCCCTCTCTCTCTGCCCCTCCCCCGTTCATGCTCTGTCTCTCTCTGTCCCAAAAATAAATAAACGTTGAAAAAAAAAAAAAATTAAAAAAAAAAAAAAAAAAAAAAAAAAAAAAAGAATTTCTTTTATATCTCCAGCGATGAAAAGGATTAAGTGCTGGGCAACAGTGCCAGATATTCTTTACTAAAACCAAAGAATGTTGCTTAACACACTATTCTCTGAGTAATACAAAATGGCAAATCATATGCTCGTTTAAAGCTATTAACTAGACTTAGTTTCTTAATTTAGGTTTTATTAGATATTTATTCTAATTTTATTAAAATTTAGGTATTAATAGCATTTTCTAAGGATTATCTAAATAAATATAAATCCTAGTGAGAAATCACTATTTATAAACTCTTCATTAGAACAGGACATAATTTTCAATGGTGGTTAAAAACTATCTCTTTTAGCTACATTTATATGCATTTACAAAGATGGAAAAAAATACATGAAATTGACAAAAGTGATCATGCCAGTGCAATTACAAACAATTTTACCCCTTTTCCCTATTTTCTACATGTTTTATAAAATAATCTGTTTACAGGGGGCGCCTGGGTGGCGCAGTCGGTTAAGCGTCTGACTTCAGCCAGGTCACGATCTTGCGGTCCGTGAGTTCGAGCCCCGCGTCAGGCTCTGGGCTGATGGCTCAGAGCCTGGAGCCTGTTTCCGATTCTGTGTCTCCCTCTCTCTCTGCCCCTCCCCCGTTCATGCTCTGTCTCTCTCTGTCCCAAAAATAAATAAAAACGTTGAAAAAAAAATTAAAAAAAAAATAATCTGTTTACATAAATTAATGTTTTCCCTTGATTTTTAAATATAGGAATTACAATGTTGAGATTCTATAAAATCAGACAGTTTTAAATGCTACAACTATGTAAAAATTAATCACTTGTGAATCTGCAATATTGTCTAAAAAGAGACACTCTCTTGAAGGCACAGAAAATGCTGACTGATGAGAATCGCATGTACAATGATGAAGGTTCATTTGCTTGCTCATTGGGATATTTACAAAGTCTTAACTCATGCTAAGCCCTGTGAACAAAAAGATGAAAATCTTTTCTTCCACTCCCCCCCCCCACCAGAAATTTTGGTCTGATATATGATTTTCTTTCCTTTTGGCTCATCAAAATTGAAATTCCAAAATCTGAGTGTTTCACGAGTACCCTCCAAAAGATTTATTACCAGTGCTTACTTTTAGAGCAAACAACCCCCACCTACATATTGTTAATGAACAAGAAAACTTTCAAAGTTCTTGACGTTTTTGTTTTAAATGACCCCCAGAGATTTTCCACATTGGAGGATGGCCAACTGGACCACAGGCAGATAAAACAACAATACATCAAAAGGGATCGCTATTTTTTTCAGTTTTTATTTTTGCTAGTTAACATACAGTGTTAACATTAGTTTCAGGTGTACAATATTGTAATGCAACACTTCCATACATGATCCTGTGCTCATCTCAACAAGTTGTACACCTTAATCACCATCAAAGCATGACTATTTTTACTTAGATGTCTCACGGGTTGTTTTTGTTTTTTAACTTAACACATTCAATGTTGAACACATTTCAGTGTTCCTCCACTAGGCTTCTCTATATTGGTAAATGGAATCATCATCCACCCAGTTGCTTTAGTCAGAAAGGTAAATCTTTCTTGATTCTTTCCTCTTCTTCACTCTCATCTGGTCCATCAAACCAATGTTGATTCTAACACCAAAATGTATTTCCTATCAGTACCTATCATATCATTCCACTTGGAATGCTGCAGGGGTCTTTTGATTGGCTTCTCTTCCCTCCTACACTGCTCCCTCCTTCCACTACGGTCCATTTGTTATGCAGATGCCACTGACGTGTTAAAAACCATCAGTGAATCCCTCTGGGCTCAAAGAGCTGAATGCCTCTCACTGCCTGGGTGACACTCAACTTCTATCAGCTCAGCTCATCTCATTTCATTCTCTCCCTGCTCAGTACCTTCCAGGCATACTCATCTTCTTTTACTTCTTAAACACACCAAGCTCTTTTCCCCCCCTAACCTCCTGAACACACTGTTGTTCTCCCTCTCTCTGGAATGCTGTCCCCCTGACCAACCAAACAATCTACAGTATTCTCATTGGCCTACACACTCTCTTGCAGAGAACAGATGCCTAATAATAATGTTGAATGAAGGAACTAATTTGGAATAATGGATAAGCTCCCCGAAAGAAAACAAGGCCAATGTCAAAGTTCATAGCCACTTAAAATCAAATAAAGTAGAAAAACCTAGAGAGCTACGCTACCTTTTTTACCTTGGGCCAGTACCACCGTATCTTGCATTTTCTTGTACCTGTTCAGGCACTGGCGAAGATCTTCTATTTTCCGATCCTATTAATAAAATCAATTATCATCTTTAATACTATTGATTTTAAACAGTAAAACTGTGACACAAAGAATAAGTAGACATGAATTATTTACATTATCCAAAGAAGACTTCTAAACTTTAGTAAAACTGGTAATATCTAGAATAGTTTTCCTACGTACATCAGAGATAGAGAAGAAGTACCTCTAAATTTAGAGATCCTATCCTTCAGCTGCCATCTTTAAAAAACAAAAACAAAACAAGGTAATAAGATACAAAACAAAAACAAACAAAAAAAAAACAAGAATAAAATCAACTTTAATTATTCTCCTCTCCAACTTCTAGGTCAGATCTTGAAAGAAAGGTCTACACCTGCTGTCTGTATCAGCTGTCATCAGTCACCATCTGACTTTTTCCTTCACAAAACACTCAGCCAAAGTTGCTTCAATTAGTCATTAGGGACTTTCTATTTACTGAAATAATGAACACTTTTCATCCTTTAGTCTAATTTGACCTCGTTTGGTACTTGACTGACCCCACTCTTTCCTTCTTTGTTCCCTTTTCTTTCCACTCTTTCTTTTCTTCTATTTTGATTTCTTAATCCCTTGACCAGATAAGATATTCTACTTCTACAACCCCCACTATCTGGCCAACCCAGATCATGAAATGTTAGCACTTCCAGGTTTTGTCCTTTACCCTCATTCTGGTGGATTATAAAGATGGGCTCCCTAGCTTCTCCCTCACTGATTTTGGGCTTGTCCATGTGACTTACTTTGGCCAAAGAGATATAAACAAATGTGGTGCAAGGAAAGGCTTGAAAGGTATTTATCTGCACATTAGGGCTTGCCCTCTTTTTTCTGCTCTAGGGAACCTTGTAAGCACCATGTGAAGAAGCATAGGCTAGTCTACTGGAGGATGAGAGATCATTTGGAGAAGAGACATCCCAGACGGGACCAACCTATACAAGTCGGTTAATCACCAGAGAGGTGAATCACATCATTCTAGACCATCCAGCCCCATCCTAGCCACTGGCTAACTGCAGAGATCTGCAAAGCCAGCCCAGACCATAACAATTACCTAGCCAACCCTCAGAAGTATGAGAAATAATGTACGTGATTGGTCTTGGAGCAAAAGCTAACTATACATCAATTACAGTTTAATCCCCAACAATCTATAATTCTGTACTTCTCCTAAAATTGATGGGGTCCATTCCCTACCAATCTGTAATTCTGCATTAATCCTAAAATTTAGACTCACTTTCTATGAGAAATCTCCTTTTAGATGTCCCATGAGCACATCAAATTGAATGTACCTAAAATTAAACTCATTATTTGCCCTCAGTACTTGAGCCTCTTGCTTGGATTCCCTTAACTCTTTGAGGGCACTATCATTCACTTTGCTACTCAAACTAGAAACTTATTCTCAAATTCAGATTAAAAAAAATCTTGTCAATCTGTAAATTTCTGGAAAACCTCACCACTTCACTTCTACTGCTGTATTTCAACCCCTCTTCATTTGTCACCTAGACTATTTAACAGCCTCTTAATTTTTCTGTCCTAACTCTGCCTCCCTTACTCTTGCCTCCATTTTGCCACTAGAGTTCGCTTTCTAAAATGACAATTTAAATCATGTCACTGCCCAAGGTCTATAGTTAATACCCCAAATGATTAGCTTAGCACTCCAGCTTGCCTAACACCTCATAGCAGCTCCCCTGTCAGCCTCATCTACCCCTCCACCTGTTATATCATTCTGAACTTTCCCAGGATGCACTGGTTGTCTCAAGCCTTGCTTTTGAGACATGTTCTGGGTAACAGATACTTTCCCTAGAAGCTTTCATTTTCCTAATGAACAACTCTTGCTTTTCCTCAGGTTTTGCTCAAATATGGCCTCTTTGAAGATCTCTGGAACTACTAAAAACTTGTCACCCTTGGTGCTCCTAAAGCAGATTGAGGATCTAATAAGCCCTCAGTCAACATTGGGAGTTTTGTTTGTTATTGTTGCTCTTTGGGCAGAGGGAAATTAAAACCGAATGAATTTCAATGATTATTTTTAAAAAGTAAAAGCTATGGGGGCACCTTGCTAATGACTTTCCTTTGTATTCAACAGTAGGAAAGACTAGTAAAAAAGAAACCACGTGGGTGACAGGACAGTGAGTTTATTTCCATATAATAAAGAGCAAATAAAGAAAATGAAAGGCAAAAATATAGAGAGAAGTAAGAGAAAGACACAAGATGAGAGAAAAAGATCAAGACAAAGTTCTTTGGCATTTGCTTGTTTTTTACTTCCTTGAAATTAATCTTTTCTCAGGAAAATGCCTCCTTGTTCCATTCATTAAGGAACATGAGGTAAAAGTAGTTCTGATGACAGGAGCTGAAATCAAGTGTTGCTGCCAGTTGGATATATGGCTGATCATGCAGGCCACCAAGAAACACCTTGTTTTAGTAGGTAATTGTGTCCCTCCTCTAAGCAGGATGAAGTGAGAGAAGCAACTGGGAGAAAAGAACTCCCAGAGACCTTGGCCATTTGGCCGGAGTAGCTAAAACAGGGCCTGGGGCCATACTTGATTTCATAGTGCCTGTGCCTCTGTTTTCTCGTATGTCATCTCTCAGGAGAATAGAGGCAATCCCTGATGTGAAAGAATCCAGGAACGAGAAGGAAATAACACGAATAAAATCAACACCATCACGAAGCTACAGCTGTCATGGGCCACTTCCTTCAGGGTTCACGTTAGCCTAGGATTTCCAGTGACCACACAAAGGGTGCACCATGGACCATATCCTTTCTCTCGTTTCCTACCCGCATATAAAGAAATGATCTGAGAGCTTGAACATTTTCTAAATTCATGGAGAGGAGGGGAGGGAATTCTTAGTGGAGCCAGCGCTGCTGGCTGCCATTCTTCTGTACATAATCCCAATTACATCTGCCACCACTGAGCAGGGGCACACTTGTGTAGAAAGGGAGAACGGCTGTCCCTCAACTTCAGCAGTGTTTAGCCTATGTTCTTTCAAGGTGACATATCTCAAGAAAGGGCAGGGAATGATCACAATGGTGTTACACATCCATATAAATAATTTCATCTAGATACCTTTTCTTCATTTGCTGCCATCAAAGACTCCACAGCCTTTTTCATTTTTTGTACTTCAATATCTGAAAATATCACATCACAAAAGAGTTCACGTTAGTTAATAGGTGTGACAATAACAAGAGGCTGCCTCTTCAGACTATAATGTTTTAATGAAACTTTTACCATCCATATCCTCCTTTTAGGGAAAATCTGAAAAATGAACACCTTCTATGTCACCTGAACGGTCATCGCTAACAATAAGGGTAAGTGAGAGCTAACTACCCTCTCTAGAAGCAAAACAAAATCTTCATGAGAACACTGAACATGAAATTTCAGTGCTATAACAATGAAAACATGGAGTTTTCCAAAAAAGAAACCTAGAAAGCAGTGGGTGAAAGCAATGAACAGTGTACATGATGACAGAAGCAGAGAAAATGATACTCCGTTTTAACCAATATGGAGACATGAATGGTAAGAGCCTGATGGAACGTGGCATTTATATGAGTAGTCATGCTAAGCAGCTGGTTGGAGGTTCCACACAGAAGGATAATAAGCACTTTGCTTCATCTATAAACATCATTTCCCATACTATTTTAAAACATAAAAGCCAAAGTAAGGTAAATGTGATTTTCCTTAAAATTTGATGGCCTAATAGAAAAGCATGTTACTTTAATAATAAAAGAACAAATATTGGAGCTCCTGGGTGGCTCAGTCAGTTAAGTGTCTGACTCTTGATTTCAGCTCAGGTAATGAATGACCTCGTGGTTGTGAGATGAAGCCTGTGTGGGGCTCCCCACTGGGCTTGGAGCCTGCTCTGGATTCTCTCTCCCCACCTTTCTCTGCCCCTCCCCCACTCAAGTGTGTGCCCATGCCCATCCATGTGCACGCTCATAAATAAATAAATAAATAAATAAATAAATAAATAAATAAATAAAATATTTTATGATGGAAAAGTCAACCTAAAATGAAATCACAAATTAAAAAAATTCAATAGAGAAAAAAATTCACCTAAGTTACCTGCTTCTGAGGGAAAAAAAAAATATTACTTAAGATAACTTTTAAAACAGTGGTGCATCATAAACACTGGCATAACATTTTCTTTTTTTTGTTGTTGTTAAAGTTTATTTATTTTTGAGCAAGAGAGGGAGACAGAGTGTGAGCGGGGGAGGAGCTTTGAGACAGAGGGAGACAGAATCCAAAGCAGGTTCCAGGCTCTGAGCTGTCAGCACAGAGCCTGACTTGGGGCTCAAACTCACAGACCACGAGATCATGACCTGAGCCGAAGTCAGACCTTCAACCGACTGAGCCACCCAGGTGCCCCTAACATTTTCAATTAAGGTATATTCTGTAGAAATTGCTTTTTTCTTTTTCTTTTCTTTTTTTCTTTTGTGATGCCAAATTCCTTTGACTTAAGAATTCAGTATCTAAAAGCAAAGAGCCCATTAAGGATTTATCTTTACGCTGCACTGTATGATCTGGGTTCTGCTAGTCAGCCTAGGTACAATCTCATTTCGAACATCAAGAGGGTATGTTTAATTCCTAATGCAGATCTCAGTGAAAAAGCGAGCTACAAAACATTGACGAGTCCTTTTAATTTTCTCCTCTGACCCTATATCTCCTGGACTACAAAGAAAATGCTCTCTCACCTCCACTACTACTCTGAGTGCTCTGTTGTATCCTGTGGAGCAAAAGGACTAAATCAGAAAAAATCTGCAAAATGACCTTTTTACTCCTTATTTTTATTGTTTGTTTATTTACCCTCTATTTACTGCACTCTGAAGAAATGGAGAGCTTATTGATGAAGCAACTTCACATCGTTGGTGAGATAAATGTTTTAAAACACATGCAAAGAACAGTCCAAGTAGTACTTTTGGTGAATGTAAAGGCTGATGGAAATACACCAAAAACCTTACTTTTGTCTTTGAGCTTCTTTTTAAAATTTTCATCTGTGCAGGAAAACCCATCGAATTGGAAGTTAGTATACATTAGAACAATGAATATTTTAAAAGCACTATCATTTAGTTTCCTTTTACCTAAGATAAAGAAATGCTAACCCTATAAAAATTGAATATTAAGCACTATTTTGTGACTTTACAAATGGCACTACAATATATAATGCTCTGTGTAAGGTTAGAAAGAGAATCGAATATAATTAATCAAAAGAACTAAATTTGACTTCTTACCTCTGTCAATTTTCTTGTATAAAATGGAGTACATATGCACTCCTTACACTATACATGGTGAAAAACCCACTAGTGATGCTTTGGTTGTTTTTACATTTCTATTACAGTTCAATATATGGCCCTCCTGAATGTGCCTAGTACATTGCTTATGTCACATGAAACTCACCACTCAAATTCAACAATACTGAAATAAATGGTCTATGTCCTCAATAAGGAGGAGTCCACTGACCATGCAATTAGATGTTATGCCAACATCAGACTGCCACGAAGTTTTTAAACCCTGCTCTCAACCCTCATATTTACCTGGTTGTACATTGGTAACAAGCAGTTCACAGACCAGTATCAGTCTTTGGGTACCACTACTCTAGCCCACAAGTCCTATGATTCCATTTTATTCTTTTTTTTTGTTTTTTAAGACTTTATTTTTTTTGAAGTTATCTCTACATCCAATGTGGATCTTGAGCTCACAACCCCAAGATCAAGAGTCACATGCTCCACTGACTGAGCCAGCCAGGCACCCCTCCATTTTATTCTTAAAACCCTACAAGAATGACCTGCCTATGAATGTCCTTTAAGGACACACAATTCTGGGGGCACCTGGCTGGCTCAGTTGGTACATCATGTGGCTTTTCATCTCGGAGTCATGAGCGCAAGCCCCATGTTGGGCGTAGAGCTTACTTAACACACAAACACACACACACACACAAATTCTATATATGCCAAAATACACAAGGGAAAAAAATCCATTTTCCTCAATATTTGATGAATTGAGTTCTCTGATCCATAGTGGAATGCAATAACTACAGGTATATAAAGCCAGGATATTCTAGAGCCAAGAAAGACATTAAAGGTAACCTAATTCAATGCCTTCATTGCACAATGATGTTACCAACTTTCACATAATACAGATAAATATACTAAAGCTACACTAAATGCAATTTTTTTTTTGTTTCAAAAGAGTCAGAAGTTGCTTTGGTTTTCTGCAGTGCCACAATAATCTTTAACAGCAAAGAAAGGTTAAATTGAACCTAGTGTTGTCAGGTGTTATGTGCATTTATATTTCCAAATATAATATAAAAAACACATTTCATTCAAGTTATTTTCTTTCAAGTATAATGTACATTAAAATTTACAGTCCATACAATTTTCAAAACAAACCTCCTCAATTATGAGAACAATTTTGATAAATTCATATACTTTTTCAGAACGAGAATTCCCCTGTTTTTCCTTTCTAGCAGGTGGAGGGCTCAATCCACAGTCAATTTTCACTGATTTTCCAAAGATGCAGAGTCTTTTCCTCTCTTCTCTCAAAAGGGCAGGCAAGGTTTCTAAATCTCCTACTTTGTGCTGTTTCAAGTTCAGTTCAGAGGAAAATAATCTTGGGGCATAATGATGGTTCCTTTTAATGCTCCCAGACACTCCCTTATACTGCAATTTGAACAAGAACTCTTTCGTGAGAATTTACAACTTGGTAATCTAAAATAAATATCCGATGAAGTACAGAGCTACCCTTCTCCAGCTGCTGAAGAGGAAGTTAACAGATCCCCAGGCACAGGCAAGAGTCTCAGGATTCCCTGCTGTCCTGGGCTTATATTGTTTCTACTCCTCTGCCCTTTCTCTGGAATTAAATATCCACTAAAACGGAGTTCTTGTACAAAGAGAGGGAGCATAGGGAGGGCTGAGTAGGGAGGGTTTCAACAAAGATAACAAATGTCGAATGTATACAGCTACCTCGATCAAGAATTTCCATCCCTTCTCCTTTCATCTTGCACACCAATTTTTCTTGTAGCCTTTTTACTTCAGACTCCTTCTCTTCTAGCTGTTCTTTTAAAGATGCCAGTTCGTCCTACAAATGACAAATTTGTTTTAAAACAGATTATGGCCAAAAGAGAATATTCAGGGAGCGTGTCAACTCTTAAATCAATAATTAGTTTTTGTGAATGAAACAAACAATTAAAAAAAAAAAAAACGACAGGGATCTAGATGCAGACTTCAGAAATCAGACAGTGGCAATGGGAAGCAGGAAGCAAGACAGTTAATGAAAGTCAAAGTACAATAATTCTGGTATAAGTATTTCAGGCTTCTGTGTGACCAAATTAAAACAAAACCTTTTAAAGTATAATTAGGACCGAGGTGGCCCTAATGTTTAAATCTTATGTTAAATAAATTAAAAAAAAAAAATCTCCCCAAGTTAATCAAGGATGATAATCAAATTAGACGCTTAGTGTCATAAAAGCAAAATAAAATGCAAATTGGAAAATATATATTAAGACTTGACTGAGATTTATTTAGTATTCCTAGATGGCACTTATGTTCACTGGACTAGGTAGAGCTTAATTAATGGTAGCAAGTGATGAACAATGTTAGCCAAATCATGGGACTAAATAATTCATCCTCAACCCCAAACTAAAGGAAGAGAATCTCTAACAACACTGGAAAAAAAAGACTGAGCAAACAGATTTTAAACCCCCCTCTTCTTTTTTTACTACACAGCTATTAAAGATGCCAAGTCCGATGTTCTATTTGCTAATGGTTTAATTTTCAGTTTAACTTTGGTGAAGAACTTAGCATTAGCAAATTTAAATTTTGCTGGTTGTATTGAACACAGAAAATAAAGCTATGCAGTGCTAATAAATGTTCTTTGATATTCAATAAACATTTTATTTTCAGTCTCTAAGTGTATTTAGTATTATGAGAAGATCTCTAATAAAGCCAGAAACTTGGCTCCATACTTTTTACTTATGATAGGAGTGGAGACCGAGTATAAGGAATTTTCAGTAGCACTGGCTAGAAGCTTCTTTTAAGCAGTAATTTCAATTCACTGCCATGATACAATTAACTGCTATATACATTTACCTTCAAGAAAGCCCCAAAGGAAAAAGCAATCTTTACTACTGCTACAAAACAGAATTTTTTCATAGGTGCACTTTTGCAATTATTTTACCATGCTTGGATCTCAGACACGCTAAGAGGGTTGAGATTTAATTTATAAATGAATACGGTTTATTGTTTTCACACTAATTACGTCATACGTTTCTGAAAACAGTATTAGGGATCTCATTGTCCCTTTCATCAGCTTTAGATGTATTTTTAAAAGGCAGATGACACACACAAAATGAATGCACATGCTACTAAAAACACTATCACAGCAAAACAGCACAAGCCAGAAAGCAACAGGCCCAGGACCCCATTACCCAAAGTCTACTACACCTTCAGTGACTCCCATTTTCGCTCCATCCGCTGCTTTTCATACTGCATCTGACCCACCTTGATTTTCATGCTAGAAAGTTTGGCCATTAAAGACTGGTAGAGAGACAGAGGTGTGAAAGAAAACTATAGATAGAAAAAGACAACCCTAAATAACCAAGAAAATAGTATCAGTTTATAAAGGAGGTTAGGTAATTAAGAGAAATAACAGGTTATGTTTTACTAGATTAGTTAAGCCCGATTTTTATTCAGAATAGTAGTGCTTCAATTCAAGAAGGTCTCCAGCTTGGGGAAAACTGTTCATTCACTTGTAAAATACCCTTCTTTATCATACACTAGGTTGAAAACTTATTTATATTATTGATCACAGGTAAGTAGTGAGTCAAGTGTTTAAACATTTTTGTCATTGAGAAAACTTACTTTGGTTGATTTCAGCTTTTTTTCATACTGAAGTCTTTCATTGTCCATTTCACTGACTCTTAACCTCAAATCATTGATCTCTTGCATTAGCCCCTGTCAAAAAAAGGAAGCAATGAAATATATCAGGAAAGCAGCAACACGCTAATCTATACCAAGATAGATAGATAGGGCCCCGTCATTTACAAATATGTTGTCATAATACAACGTTATATTTGGAATAGGAAAAAGAAAATAATCCAAAAGTTTTCATAATACAGATACTTCTACTGCCGCTTTCTTTTTTTTAATTTTTTTTTTTCAACGTTTATTTATCTTTGGGACAGAGAGAGACAGAGCATGAATGGGGGAGGGGCAGAGAGAGAGGGAGACACAGAATCGGAAACAGGCTCCAGGCTCTGAGCCATCAGCCCAGAGCCTGACGCGGGGCTCGAACTCACGGACTGCGAGATCGTAACCTGGCTGAAGCCGGACGCTTAACCGACTGCGCCACCCAGGCGCCCCATACTGCCGCTTTCTAAAAAAACTAATTTGCTTGTAAAATTTGTCTAAGTGTTCTGAGAAACAGTGACATATTTTTGTCTAGAGCCCAGAAAAGGAAATTAGAATGCTAAATAATACCAACTTCAAGTATTGTGAAGGAGATGATTTTTTTTCTTTTTTTTTTCTTTTTTTTTTTTACTATAAGCCATGAAGACCCCACCAACAGTTAATATGTTTTTGTTCCTCATCTTACAGGTCCCTATTCCTGAGCCACAAATTAACATGACAGAACATAATTACACAAAATGCCATAAAAAAGAATAGAACAATGCTAAAAGAGATAAAACTTTCTTAACGAGGGGTTATTCTAAACTTCTATGTGTAATGATTCACACATAGGGAAAGGGATGCCACAAGGAAATACACTTTCCAGAAAACCCACAGGCTTTTAAGTTGGACGTGGTTTCTTGTAAAATGGGGGAGAGTATTACTTATCATTATTACACAATAACTACTCATTAGTTATTATTTCAATTATTAATACAATATTTCAATAAGAGGATATCTATTTTCTCCTTTTATCAATGAGGTTGTGAACTGTGTGACATCATTTAATAACATTTTGCTTGTGATTCTTTATCTACACATTCAAGAGTCATGTTTAAGGAAAATGTCAGTTTCTCCCATTTATTAATCATCCTTGCATAATATGAATTCTTAGTGATTTTCCTTCATCTTTTTTATGTATATCTTTCCACTTTCTCATAGTTAAAGAGCTTTGAATTCCTATTTGGTATTGTTTTATTTTACCTCTAGAAATAGTGACAATTTGCAAAGAAAAAGAAATAACTGAAGAAAACAATTATAAATCAAGGTCATTTTTCTATTTTAAATTTTTTTTTTTCAACGTTTATTTATTTTTGGGACAGAGAGAGACAGAGCATGAAGAGGGGAGGGGCAGAGAGAGAGGGAGACACAGATTCGGAAACAGGCTCCAGGCTCTGAGCCATCAGCCCAGAGCCCGACGCGGGGCTCGAACTCACGGACCGCGAGATCGTGACCTGGCTGAAGTCGGACGCTTAACCGACTGCGCCACCCAGGCGCCCCCATTTTTCTATTTTAAAAAAACCCTACCCAAGTATACTTTGAGGCAACACTGTTGATATGAATATAAATCTCCAACATGAACTGTAATAACCCAAGCTGGAAAATCTGGAAATAGTTCCTTAATATAAAACTTTAAAAACTGGAATACAAATTATTTCCAACTAATTTCTTATCAGAATTTCGGTTCTTTTTAAAAAGAAAATCTCCCTTTTTCCCTTTCGGAGAAACTCTTTGGGCTCCACAGAAGCTCAGTTTCTGACATCTGCACTCTTACCAGAAGGGGGCACTGTTTAATAATGCTAAGCATCTCCTATCAGCCATTCCTGGGACAGGCAAGTCCTCAATATTCCAAGGTTTCAAGACTTTTACCCCTAATCTTTTGGAAGTGCCTACACTTCTTCCCCACTCCAATATTTTCTTAGAAATTAATCTCCAAATAATCTAAAATTCTAAAACAAAGTTTAAGAATTTTGGATTCATGAGACAGCCATGGAAATTTGTTTTTATTTTAAGGAGGCTCCTCCCCACCCCCAATGTGGGGCGTGAACTCATGACCCTAAGATCAAGAGTAGCATGCTCTACCAACTGAACCACCCCAAAACATTTTATTTTTATTAAGGGAACAATACTATGAAAATTAACATATTCAAGTCAGCTTTAATTCTGAGGGCTATTTTAATTAATACATTACAAAGTTTATCACACTTCTTATAATCTCTGGGTATATATGAGCTATATATTTTGCCAATAGTGTTGAATATTTATTAGAAAGTTATCAGGGATTGAGTTTACTGAAAGTGTGATGACAAAATCACTTTGCTTATGATTGAAAGTGCATGAGAGGCTCCCGGAGGGCTCAGTCTGTTGGAGGTCTGTGTTCAGCTTAGGTCATGATCTCACGGTTCATGGGTTCGAGCCCCACATCGGGCTCTGTGCTGACAGCTCAGAGCCTGGAGCTGCTTCGGATTCTGTGTCTCCCTCTCTCTCTGCCCCTTCTGCGCTCATGCTCTCTCTCTCTC